TGAGCATTTGGAATTGTCCTTGCATTAAGAATATATGTATCATCCTCTTCTATGAGGAGAATTTTTTTGTACTAACCATCTAGACCATGGGTGTCAACTTGCAGCATCACATTGCTGTCACGTGACATATAGCAATGTTTTTCCCCTTCGCAGAGCTGGGGTGGGTGTGTCCTCCGTGTGATATATCCAGTCCGTGGGCTGCCAGTTTGACACCCCTGATCTAGACAGTACTAAGAAATAAAAAGGGACATGAAATTTAATACTGGCTGGGTTAGCCCATCAGTGTCATGTTTTAAGCTATGGTTTGCTCAAAATCCATAATACCTGTCTGCACACTAATAATACACGAATCACGGTATTTACATGCTAAACCAGCCGTGTCAAATTCAACGCCCGTGGGCTGGACCCGGCCACAGGGTGCTTAAATCCAGCCCATGGAGCCAGCCTAGAAATATCAAAGCACTGGCCCACAGTGCCTCTGGCAGCTAAAATGGGCCACTTGTGGCTCCCAGTACCCCGTTTTAGCCTCCATGGCCTCCTGAAGCACTCTGTCTGCCATAACCAGACTGAAACCAAGCCCCAAAATGGGCTGAAAATGGCTGAAAAACGGGCCCCAAACAGATAAAAATTGGGTTCAAAACCGGCCCATAACATGCTGAAAAAACAGGCCGAAAAATGAGCTCAAAACAAGCCAAAAATGGCCCAAAAATGGCTGAAAAAATGGGCCCAAAACGGGCTGAAAATAGACCAAAAACCAGGCTGAAAAATGGGCCAAAAACAGCCTGAAAATGGGCCACGTGATCTGTTTTTGGCTGGCAGAGTGCTGCAGGTGGCCATGGAGGGAGACAACAGACCCCGTTTTGGCTGGCAGAGTGCTGCAGAAGTCATCCGCCTCCCCTTCCAACTGTATTATTCCCCTTCCATGCTCTAATCTATATGATTCATTACAGTAGATTTTGCAACCAATTATATTGATTATTTAGTAATTGCTTATTTTTATGTATGGAAGTTTTGAAGTTGCTTTTTTAAAGTGGAACTACTGATAGATAGATATAATGGATGGACTGTGGTAATGAACCTTTTTTTTTTTTTTTGCAGAAATATCATGACCATCATGTAATTACATACCTGTCCATTTTCTTTGCCACAATTTTTTTACTATTTCATGAATGTATTGGCAAGCATCTGATAGAAATCTGAATGAATGAATGAAAACCAGTCCTCTGCATTTGTAGTAGGGGATATGTTGGCCTCCTTTTCCCTTTTTGTGTCTCTAATGGTTTTATATCTCACCTCTTTTCCACTGTACAACATAACATGGCATAGAGGTAGTCCTCAATCACAATTGGAATTTAAATTTGTAAGTAACTTTTTAAAAGCGTCATTAACTTTGAACAGTTAAACAACCAGTCATAAGTCAAGGACAACCTCTACATAGCAGGATGTGAGAAGCAGAGCCTCTATAAAGATAATGAGAATATCACTAAATAGCTATTACTACATGCTCTCAGAACATACCTTTGCCCCATTGTTTTATGAAGAACTTTATAAAAATTTGCTGAGCCCCCGGCAGTGCAGTGGTTAGTAGGCAAACTCTTCCCACAGCCTGGAATTTGATACTGACAGGCTCAAGGTTTTCTCAGCCTTACATTCTTCCGAGGTTGGTAAAATGAGGACCCAGATTGTTGGGGGAAATATGTTAACATTGTAAACTACCCAACGTCAGCATCTTATCCCCAACAATTGGACACTATGGGATGGTATATAAGTTTAAGTGCTTTTGCTCTTCCTATTATATTGAATTCTCCAACTTCTTGTTTTTTTAAAAAATCTTAAATCTTTTGAGAATGTAGCTGCTATCATTTTGAAAAGAAATACATATTTTTTGTATTAATTTGAATAGAACAAAAATTAGCGTTTATTGGTTTAAAATTCTAGGAGCAATATGCCATCTGCCTTATCTAATCAGAATGATAAATTACTTCAAAACTATTTTGATATAACTGTAATTTAATCAAAATTCTTGCAATAATGAGTATGGTAAATAAAAACTAAAGATTCTTTTATGTGCAAAAGAATAGAATACACGAGATGGAAAAGTGATCCCAAGAGGAACATCTTTATATATTTATGCATATACTAAAAAAAGGAGTAGTCTTGCACAGTTAACTATGGCCTGGCTTACTGTTGATATACTGTACATGGGGATCCTATTTAGGCTGTGAAAGATTTACAATTTCTTCTCTGCAGGATGCGCCTATGGGTATTCAGTGGCTTTAGCAACAAACTCACAAAAACAATTCAGCCTAATACGTATAAAGTGTAGAGGCTGATTTAAAAGTATCACTGTATTCTGATTCATCCTTCTTCAATATGATACCTTTCCAATTTATTTGGTGACAACTCTTAATTCCATCCACAAGTGTATTTTGAGTTATAAATTAATAATGAAATCAATGAAATGTAAATTAATTATGATTCCAGGATTAATCCAATGCTTTTCGGGTTTTTCTAAAAGTTAAGGTTTTCTTAATTATTTTTTTAGTAATTTTTGTAATTACAAATTTGATTTGGGGCCTAATATGGGGTGACCCAGAATTCTAGAAATGGACTATTATTATAGTCCAGTCCCACTGATGTCTGGACCTGAAGTAAAAAAATGAAATTCTGTTCTCTCAGAGTCTAGAGTTTGAAAATCGATTTTTATTTTTCATCAGAGTATGATAAAATTATTTTAAAAGATGATTACTTTTTCTGAGTTATAGTGAAGATGACTGATGAGTCAGAACTTTTCTACAAATAACTACGTCTCTAGGTCATATCAGCAATACCTGATAAAACATCATCATACAGCTGGATAAAGGGCACAGGAAATCCTTCTCAGCCCCCGATTTTTATTAAAGCTTTCTCCCCCACCCAAATATTTGATTGGCATCTCCAAGGCAAACAAGAATTTCTTTTGAAAAATGAACTGACTCAAATGCTCGCTTTTCTCTTATCCTTCCATTACTTCTTTGTGCTCTTTCTATAGCTTGCCATACCCAGAATGGAGTAGGTAAAGGCCCAAAATTCAAATGTTTTGACTTGTATATTTTGCTCCGAATAGATGAAAAGCAGTTATAAATAACCGTACTTCTCTTTCTAATTAATTGCACACTAATCTGATGGTCATGCACTGTATGCAAAATAAATTGGTTATTACAGGTAGTCCTCTACTTACAACAGTTCTTTTAGCGACTGTTTAGAGTTACAACGGCAGTGAAAAAAGTGACATGGCCGTTTTTCACATGACCATTGCAGAATCCCCACAGTCATGTGATCAAAATTCAGATGCTTGGCAACTGACTCATATTTATGATGGTTCCAGTCTCCCAGATTTGTGTGTGATTACCTTTTGCGACCTTCTGACAAACAAAGTCAATGGTGAAGCCAGATGCACTTAACAACCATACAACTGTGGCAAGAAAGGTTGTAAAATGGGGCAAAACTCACTCAACAACTTTCTCACTTAGCAACAGAAATGTTGGGCTCAATTGTGGTTATAAGTTGAGGACTACCTATATTTACAACTCCAGCTAGAATAAAATAGCATTTATTATGCCCATACCTACAAATGTTGTGAAGCTGTTTTGAATAGGATAAAGATTAAGTTTACTAAACAAATAATTTTGCCTATGTCAGAAAATGTTGTCTTTTGTGTACCAAAAAAATATCAGCATGTACTGATTAGTTGCAGGTATTTACAGGACTTAAAGACAGAAGGATTCTTCTGAAAGTTCCCTTTTCTTTGTTCTTTAATAAGGATTCAACAGCTGCTGTCCTTGGAACACTCCTTGCTGTTATCTTCTAGACAGGATAACGAAATACTATATACATTAGAAAACCATGCTATATTAAGAGGTTACTTAATTTTTTAAAAAATAAATATCAAAAATCGTTAAAAATATTTAATGGTTATACTACAACTTTTATAAAATCCTCATATTGCCTCTTGAAACAGCAGTTTAGTGTTTGTGACAATTATTTTGTAGATGTAAATTTATCCGTGTTCTGTTTCTTTTTTGGGGGAGGGGGGGAGAATATAAAAAAAATTCCGAGAAATTAGGTATTACTCCAAAATAAAAATCTTGTGTTTTTCCAATATATTTACCAAAAACTAGCTGTCCCAATCTTTTTAGGATTTCTATGTATACATCACTTTTTATCTTCTGGAACGAAGATTTCTTTTTTATTGTCAGCAGGGGATGGTGGTGCCAAACTGATAAGAAATATTATCTGTGAAGTTTGTAACTTGAAGGAGTTTAGAGGATTGTGAGCTTTAATGAGATCACGTCGACACTGAAATATTCAAACAGCAAAGCAGATGGTTTTATAACTTCCTCTTGGAATTAATGGCTTCAAAGTGTTGTCCAAAGTATTGCAAAATGCATTGCAAGACAAGGATGCATTCTTTGCAGAGAGAACAAAAATAATGTACTTATGTCTGTGTATTCAAACCTCTTAAAATTCATTTATTATTTACACACACACACACACACAGAGAGAGAGAGAGAGAGAGAACAAGAGAGAGAAAGACAGAGAGAGAGATTGCTGAGAATAAAGTTTTCCTAGAATATGTGACAGAAAAATCATCATATTGTCCTAGTGCTATATATAGAAAATGTAATTGACTAAAATAGAATATTGAAATCTATAGCATAGTTTAATAATTTTAAACACACACTCATAGACACACTATTTAAATAATTAAAATTAGTTTATATTGAAGATTTCATACAGCTATTATGCATTGACAGTTGTATTTATTTTTTTGGTATATAACTTCTTTGGGGGACATTTTTGTGCAAGTTACAACAAATATATGCTTTGGCAGTTTTCCAAAAATTAATCTGTATTAAGTGTACATTCTTTTTCAAAATTAAAAGTAGAAAAGTATATTTGTTATCTCCTTGATGCAAAAAAATCTAAAGATTTAATTATTAACAAGATATCTGTACTGAATGATAGATGATATATTTGATACTGATGAGGAAAGTATATTTATAATTTTTGAATAAGCTATACTTCAATTGGTTATAATTTTTTCTCCTAGACAAGTCAGGCATTGTAAGCAAAGTTGCAGCATTAAATAAAGTAGAACAGCTATTTTGTGGCAGGACAATGTGCCATTTAATTTTTTATTACCAGTTTCAAGAGAATGAAAAAGTTTGCACAAGTAGAACTCAATTCCTTTGGAAGTGGGGCAGGTAACAAATGCTCAGTTAAAACACTCTCTCAAAGGAGGCCCAATAGAATGGTAAGATTGAAAGCATTTGTTTATTTAGTGTATGACATTAGCCAGGAAACTACAGTGTTAGTACAGAGTAATTGTTTGGCTGCCTAAGATTACTCTTGTATGCTTGGTTCATGCTCATGCACTATCCATGGTGCATCACGGGATGAACTAGCACCACACTCAGAATGGTTAACAGCAGTTTGCTGTGTCATCTGGTGTTTTTCCCTCCACAGATATTGTCTCGCGTTTGGGCATTCGGGCAGGTCCTGCACTGGTTGGGATCGTACTCCGCACGAAGCACTATTATTTCTCCCACCGAAGTGATACCTATTTATCTGTATGCAGTTTATATGTAACATGGTTTTGAACTGTAGCTTGGCAGGAGCTGAGGCATGTGACAGGAATTACTGAATTTTTAAAAGCGTACCCACATGTTACATCACATGTTGGTAGGACTTGAATCACCAGAGCACAGACCTTCTCCAGAATTTATGCAACTATACTTAAATGATTAGACAGAATACAACAGCTTGCCCTTAAATAAATAGGAGGACAGGGAAATTTTTCCCACTGAAAAATTTATCACTTTTTAAATCAAATGTCATTCATACTTGGGTATATATTCAGCCTCTCTAACCCTCTAACCAAGGGTTGTCAAACTTGCGGCCCCGGCCCTGATACGTTACACGCTAGCCATGCCCATGTCTGGTTTAGCCAAGGGGAAAAAGTGATATGTCACATGATGACACCGTGATGACGCAAGTTTGACACCCCTGCTCTAACCCATTGAAATTTCCGTACTAAGGGTGATAGAATATCATTATGTAAAAGATATCCAGAATATTTGTTTTGAAATAAAATATACACATATCGATGTACTCTTCTGTTTGAATACTATAATATTCAAAATCTCTACTACTTTCTCCCAGCTCAAGTGGGTACGCTTTTAAAAATTCAGTACTATAATTATAAATGTCAGATAAACTTTCCCAGGTATAAAGGAGAAGATTCCAAAATAAAATTTAAATGCTAAAATGGAAAATGGATCTGTGATTGTAGTCAGTTTTATAACCAAAAATATTTCTCAGCACTAACAATATATTGAATTATTCCTCAATAATATCTAATATGGTCTGTTCAAGCATGGTGAATTATGCTTTTTGATTTAGCATTATGTAGGTATTTATTCAAATTACACCTTCAGTGAAATTTATTTTCATGCTATATTTAGAAGGCATTTTTATGTTCAAGATACAACTTTATTCCGAAGTGAAATAATCTTGGATATCCTTCTATCATTTTTTTAAAAAAACTGAGACAACATATCTGGCTCTTAAAAGAAAGAATGCACAGTTGGGTAAAAAAACACAAATTGAACGCCACATTATTATGGTAGATAAAAAGTTTTGAAAGAACTCCAATTCTTCACAGTTTGCTTGTTTAAATTAATGCTGCCTCATTTGTTTATTTTCCTAAGCATAAATTAGCATTACTATCTCATTAGTGCTTTTTCAACTAACAAGAGTTAAAGAAAAAAAAATAAGATCCAGAAAATTGGTAGTCCCAAATCCTAAATATATTTACAGTTTCCTGGGGAGCAACCTTATTAGTCTGTTGCAATAAAAATCACATACAGGTAGTACTCAACTTATGGCTACAACTGAGCCTAAAATATCCATTGCTAAGCAAGACAGTGGTTAAATCTGTTTTGTCCCTATTTTATGACCTTTCTTATTAAGTGAATCATTGCAATTGTTAAGTTAATAACATGATTGTGAAGTGAATTTGGCTTCCCCATTGAGTTTGCTTGTCAGAAGGTTGGAATGTGATCATATGACTTCGGGACACTGCAACTTTCATAAATATATGCCAGTTGCAAGCATCTGAATTTTGATTATGTAACCATGGGGATGCTGCAATGTTCGTAAACATGAAAAATGGTTATAAGTCACTTTTTCAGTGCCGTAATTTCACTAAATCTCATTTATTGTGCTTTATGAGGAAGATTTTAGTTAGAAAAATGGGAGCCCCTTTATGATTAAAGATATGCATTACAACTCCACAGCACTTCCCATACTCTGAATTGGGCCAATGGAATTGTACTTTTGAGATACAAACTTCAGTGTGCCATGTGAGGCTTTATACTGTCCGTGAGTTAGTAAGGTATTGTGTTAGTTGACTATCCTTTGTTAAACTTAATATATAGTTTAGGACTCTTTGTGAATCCTGATAATATTCTTTATTTTCAAATCATAATTAAACAAATTGGCTTAATGTGATATATTGGAATCCAGCAAACCTATAAAATAGAGCTTGTTGTATTACTCCCAGTTTTTTCCCCACTGGTCAATCTTATTTTAGTTATTTCTCATTAACTTTTTATCTCCAGCTACTATTCATTTGTACTTGTTTGTTGCTTAACTTGTGACTGCTGTTGGGGGTACATAGCTAAAATCCTATCTATCCTACCACAATCAAATTGAGTAGAGGGGTAAAAAAACCAAGGATGTAATTTCTAGATAAGCTTTAAATGTATCTGCTCTAATATCCAAAAAGGTAAGAAAAATCTTCATGAGAAGTATTGCTATTCTTATATTAATGGGACTTTCCTAAAAAAAAAAAAAAGCCTACTATCACAGTTAAAGATTTGAGAAGATTTTTATTTTTTTGTTTTGTTTTAAAGTATCCTCTTAATATAGCTTAGTTGTTGGCAAAAATATTGATTAAATTGGTCTATGATGAAGAAAAACATCCTTTCTTAAAGTTCAGAGAACTGTTCTTCATATAGTGATTCTCTTTCTGTGATATTCTGTGATATATTATAGTAAAGCAATTATTTGTTAATGTAGCAAATTTAGAGCATGTTGCTACTCACACATAAGAAATTATTTGAGGATTTGATAAAGACTGCCATAAATATTAATAAAGATTGACATCTAATCTCTTTCAGGTTTATTTCCTGCCATTCTAAACCTAGCTAGTAATGCTCATATCAGCACTAATGCTACATGTGGTGAAAAAGGCCCCGAAATGTTTTGTAAACTTGTGGAACACGTTCCAGGTCGACCCCTACGCAATGCACAATGTCGAATTTGTGATTACAATAGTGCAAATTCCAAAGGCAAGTTTATTACATTGTACTTTTTTCAGATATCTGTGAATCATTGTCAGCCCTATCAAGTAGATCAGACCAGGAAGGCAACTCTACAGGAAGACTAAAATGATTTCTGTTGAGATTGGCTATAATAATAGAATTTTGCAACTCTGATTATACTGAATACTGCATAGTATATTGTTCTTATACTTGGCTAAATTAAAAGTGTTCAGCTGCTTCTGAATGTTATCTCCTTGTTCTGAATTTAAGTAACTACCTGCATATTTCCTTTCTTATTCTCTACACCACGGGTATCAAGCATGCTGTGTCATGTTGCCATCATATGATGTTTTGTGACATTTTTCCCATACGTGGAGCTGGGGTGGACATGGCCTGCGCGTGATGCATCCGGCCTGTGGGCCACTAGTTTGACATCCCTGCTTTACACCCACAATTTTTTGAGTAGAGCATACAGCTAGTAAGGTCATATCATTTGAATGCTCCAATTTAAACATAATTCTGAGTTGTATTTAATCTTAGATTTGTGGTCTGATCTTATATAGCATAGTCTAGATTGATTTAACTGATTTATTTTCTTTTTATAACTTGTATACATTAATATATGTGAGTGGTTGTAGCATGGCAATAATACATTAAAAGAAACTGGGAAAATTTGATTGTAATTTGTGTTTATTTTAGAGCAACATCCTATCTCAAATGCTATAGATGGTACTAATCACTGGTGGCAAAGTCCTAGCATTCAGAATGGAAGAGAATACCATTGGGTAACAATTACTCTAGACCTAAGACAGGTAAGTAGAGGCAGTTTGTTTTCATTCCTAAAGGACTATTTGATTTTTTTTATTATTGCTCTCTAGTGTACAGTGATAGCAATTGGAAAATTATCTCATGCTTCTTAGAAGCTTATAGCAATCTACATGAAGGTCACCTTTATCTTTATCTCTATAACATTTCTGTGAGGTAGATTGGATTGAGATAAATAAATGCCGATAGCAACTCAATGCATGCATGGTTCAATTGAGTCTTGCATTTAACATATCGACACACTGTACTAGCAAATGTAAGAATTGCTTTGAACTATTACAGAGCTGACACTCAGTTGATTGACCCTATATATATCAACAATATATATGACATATCACTTACATTTTCATCCTTCCTTCATAAGCATTTGATTACTAGAATTCAGCAAGAAGTACTGAGCTTTCTCTGGATTGAGTGCAATATTTGATCTTGAATAGTGTGCTAAGAAACGTTCAAAAAGGCAATGCCTGGGGTAGAACAAAGATGAAATGAAGGCAATTTCATTTGTATCTAACAACTTATAGAAAACATAGTAGTTGTTTTTCTTTACTGTTATATTAAAAATGCATTTTGGTTAGTGCAGCTTAGCTATATGTTCTGCACTAACTGAATAAACTGAAAATAAGTGACCAAAATTCATAGACACTCATACATACATACTTAATATTTGTTAAAATAGAATGATTATCTTTTGAAAAAGAATTAAAGGATTATTTTGAAATTATATATCAAAACCCCATCAGGAGATAAGAAAATTATTTCTCTGGAGAGCTTTAAAGATGAAAGCATACTCAGAAAAGCAATTTATGTCTCAATACTAAGCCATTATTTGTAAAAAAGATCACTTTTCTATGAACAGTTGTGATAACTTAAAATATGAAACAGCTGTTGACCTAGCTAGTTATATAAATATGGAAGCAGCTCTGATTGAGTAATTTGCAGTTGATATATATTTTATCAGCTTTGAACTAGCCTTTCATTATATGGTATTTGATTCAAAATTAAACTTGTAAGAGACAAAATTAACATTGGCCCATCTGCAGTTCACTGCTAAACATATTATCCAGACTTTAATTAACTTTTTAAAAAGAAGCATCATATCATTTATATGTAGAAAGTCTTTCCAAATTGGCATTGCATCTTTCTTCTTAAGGCATTCCAGCATTCATTACATTGATTTTATACCTTTCACCATGAAGTGCCTCTTTTTCCTTATTTCTTTCTGCTTTACAGCATTTTTTTTTTAAAAAAAGCATTTCATACCGATATACATTTGTTTTCAGTAAGAAAACATTTGGCTTAATAAAGATTGCTTGGGATCTGTGAATGATTACTTCTCAGTTATTAATTTTAAGATGGGGAAATTGCCGAATGTGTTCCAAGTTCTTCAGCTGTTTGAATTGCCTCAAGGGGGATACATATATAATAATTTCTAAAACTAATCTTGAATTATTAACCATTTTCTAAGAAGATATAAATTAAAGCATACATTAATATTATGTTACTTTGGAGAATTAATACAATAAGTGAAACATAGTTTGATAGTAAATCTGCTCATTGTAAAACACAAGATGATGAAAATCAGCCCTCTTTTGTGGAAGATAGTAAACTGCTAAGAGTGGGAAGAAAAGAGGAATAGATGTGGAATTATTTAATCATTATGTAGATTTAGAACTTGCTTTTGAAACAAAATGACAGCTCAAAATTATTTTGTTATGGCTTCCTTTTTTGCCCTGATAAAAGTTACTTAGCAGAAGTTCTTGAATTTTTGTGATTTTATCTAATTAACAATAGTTTGGCCTGTTGGGTAAATCTGACAATTTATGAAATGCTAAGTACCGTATTTGCCGGCGTATAAGACGACTTTTTTGCCCCGAAAAACATGCCTCCAAGTGGGGGGGTCGTCTTATACGCCGGTATATCCACTGCCGGCTTTCGGAGGCTTGTTGGACGCAGCGAAGGCGCCTCTGGCTTCCTGGATCCCCTGCGTCGCTTCCGCTTCATCCCGCTCGCCTCGCTCCGCCCGAGGCTGCAGCCTTACTGCTCTTCCCACGGCCCCTGGCACTCTGCCCTGCCGCTGCAGCCCCGGGGATTTCTGGAGGGCGTTTCCGGTGGTGGTGGGGGGTCGTCTTATACGCCGGGTCGTCTTATACGCCGGCAAATACGGTAATGATTTGTTAGGGTGATCCTTGGATTCGTATTATATTTTCCTAGAAGTATCTTCTGGGAGGAGTATCAAAGTAGGCAAGATAGTAGTCACAGCTTGCAGTTGCCCTGGTTGATGTCACACAAATGTACAAAGGGATGGAATTTCAATCATGGTGACATGATTTTCAGTTAATTATGGTTAAGATAAACCATAGTTCTTAATCAATTGTGTGCAAACTGTTTTGGACAGTTTCTTGCACCTGCTCTATGAAATCAGGTTGGTAGCTATAAGACCAGGACAAAGAAAAGGTTGCAGGTAAAATATCTTTCTGGTCAGTCTTGATCTTTCATAACTTTATGTACTTGTTGTTTTCTTGGCTACAGTGATGGAATGATTTCTAGTTGCTTTATTTGAGTATCTGCATTTTTTTAGTTACCAGTCCAGTCTACAGCTCTGATATTTTCTGGTGGACTTTATTAAGAGTTTATTTTTCTTTTCCTTAGCTACAGATAATGGTTTTAATCAGGGGTGGGATTCAAATTTTTTAACAACCGGTTCTGTTGGGCGTGGCTAAGTTGGTGGGCGTGGCTTGGTGGTCATGTTTTTGGCTGGGTCTGGCCAACTCAACATCACTCACATAGAGGCACGCATCTCCTCGCCTGGCCTCTCATGACTATGGGGATGCTGCAACGGTCGTAAGTGTGAAAAATGTGCCATTGTAACTTTGAATGGTCACTCCACACAAGCAAAGTACCAGCAAAGGAGGAGAAAAAAACTCCAAGTTCCTGAAACATGAAGTCTAGTCCTGCCAAGAACGTAATAAGGGTTAACAGGCAGTTTCTGTAAGCAACACCAGAATGTTTTCTTCCTGCTTTCCTTACAGGATTAGGCCCATAATTTCTTCTAACAACCGGTTCTCTGAACTGCTTGGAATGTTAACAACTGGTTCTAGCGAATAGGTGCAAACTGGTAGAATCCCACCCCTGGTTTAATAGAATATCACACCTCCAATAATTTCTATCATTCCCTTCCCATTTCATATTGCCAAGTATCATACATGAGAAAACAGAACAAATAAAAGAATAACAAAGTGAAAAGGGGAAAGACCTGGAGGCTAGCAAGAGCATATTAATGGATTTTTTTGTGCCTTGGTAGTTGTGCTCTTGTTCATGTGGCTGTGAAGGGTGAACAATAGAGCAACTGTTGATGGGAAATGCAACAAAAGGTTTCTTTGCATTCGCTGCCTCCATTTATTTCCTACAGCCTAACTAGTCATGCATTATTTATCATTAGAACATTATGGTTTGAGGCAACCCTGCAATCTGTAGTAAGGAAATTATTAGCTAACTTTATACAAATGTCTGTAATGTTTCCCTAAAGGAGAAAACTCATTTTTGTTGTTGAAATTAAAATTAATTGATTCAAGGAGAATTGGGTGCTGAATAGAAGTTTCTTTATAGTAAGGAATAATCTGTCTAGAAAAGTGTTCGACCTAGATGTATTAGAGGTTTTCAAACAGGGGCTGACCTGTTAATTAGGGTTTCGTGAATTCCTGAATCCAGCAGGAAATTGAATCAGATGACCTATTGGATCATTTCCATCTCATCTAAGTTAAAAAGTGTGCAACAATTTCCGTGCATGACTTAAGGATATAGGGTAATTCAGATTTAAATCCAAAGCATTTGTGCTAGGTCTGTGCATGGACTTGGAACATGTGCATTCTGGCAAAGATCTTTTGGAGTTGTAGAGAGAGAGCTGACAAAAGGAAAGCTTGCAGCTTGTGAACCTGGAGAATTAGAAAGTATGTGTCAGGTGGGTGCTAAGCAATGAGAGCAGGAAAGGAAGGTTTGCATTGGAGATGAAAAATAGGTGTTGCTGGATGGAAGCAGCAAATGGCTATAGAAAAATGGCAGCCAGGAAAGTAGAAAGTAGAGGGTTGGGTGGGAAAGAAGCTTTGCATTGCTAGAGAAGTAAGATGTCTGGACCCAGTGGATGCGACGGTAGGAATGAAGTGGCTGTGAGAAAGGAAAGAATGGAGTGGTAAAGAGAGGGCTCAGGTGGGTATGGGATGACACTGGTGACACAGGAAATTTCAGGTAGGTATGGGTAGACCCAGTGTATGACACACCTAAGTTCCCTTCTGGTGGTGTTCAGAAAGTTGCTGAAAATATTCCTGTTTTCCCTATCTTTGAGTCAGAGTATCGGTAGAGCCATCATAGGATGTTTTGTTGTTATATGGAGTTTTCCTTTTGAAAGTTTATGATCTCTTTCATTTCCTTTTCTTTTTAATGTCTTTTGCTTTTAATGTCTGTCACCCTGAGTTATCTGCAGTTGACTGACCTCTAAGCTGTACTCGAATGAATGAATGAATGAATGAATGAATGAAATGAAATGAAATGAAATGAAATGAACTTGGCAGTGGCTAATGGAAGTTAAAATAATGGTCTATGCAGAGTGGTCCTGCTGAACCTCTGCACCAAAATATGTTTGTTCCATGCATTTTTCATTTCATTTGTATCACTAATTCATTCTCTGATTCTATGAAGAATAGGGAAAGATTTATGCCTCTACTCTTGCTTGGAATCAGACCAACTGCACCTGTGATTTCTTGTAGGGGAAAAGTTACTCAGAAACACTGTAAATTACGAATATGGGAATGGGAAAGAAAGGTGCTATAACATGTGGTCCAGTAATGCACTTCAGCTCCAACTGTTTCCTGATGATTTGCAAATACTGTATCAAAATCAATAACTAGCTCAGAAAATTTATGCATAGACAAAGATGAGTTCAGAGTCACTGTAGAAAAATTCAGTCCTGAAATATGTGGTGATTGCATAGAATAAATAAAGGAGAATATTTGTAGCTCAGGGTTGAAATGAGAAGTCCTTGGTGCATTCTGAACTTGGTTGTTTTCTTGCAGACATTCAGTTACCCAAACTAGGTAATATCATCAGTGCTTGTGATGATGGTGTTACCTAGTCTGGTAATGAAATGTCTTCACTAAAACAACCAAGCTTAGGGAGCACCAAGGACCCCTGATTGCATAGAAGTATTACTGCAGGTTACATTCTTGCCCGTTTCTCCCTGCTGTCCCCTGAAAAGTAGAATTAAGTAGAATTAAAAAACACCATTTACAAGTATTTGCTTAGTGAGTTCTAACATACAACAGCTGGAATGTTAATTCGGATAGTTCCTAAATATTAAGGATGCGCGCACTTTAAATTTATTAGGAAAAAAATATTCATCATTGCATAATCACAGCATCCCCGGCCTATTCATTAAGGCACACCTGCATTAAAAAAAAACTAAAAAAAAAGATACAACATGGCATGCACAGCTGTATCAAATATATTAAGATTAGAAATTTTTCCTTTGAAGAAAACACTGAAATAAAAGCTCCCCCCTATTCCATGCAATTATTACATTATGATAGGCTGTGGTACCTAAGGGATCTCAGTTTCCCACAAGTAGTGGGAAAACATTAGAAGTGAAATTTATTTTGAAATACTACAGCTGCATTATGCACATTTTTAAACTCAGATACTGCACCTGAGTAATGAAATAATATTGTTGCTGGAAACTTTTTATACATAGCAAACTGGTATAAATTTAAAGTAGTACTTTTATGATACTGTATTATTTGCAATTTGTTGATTATGTTAGAAATTATGTAAATAAGCAATTGCAGATTTACACAGACCTAATTACAGAATTACCAGACCCATAATTGTCTTAAATCACACAAATAGGATAGTATGGCTCTCATTAGATATTTTATGGTTAAATGGCAGTCTGTTAGATCAAGCTTTTTAAAAATATATGTTGTAGTACTTAAAAGAGAAAATCATGATTTAAATAATCAAACTGTTTCTTGCTATCAGGGCATGTAAATGTTGTGTTTTACTTTCGTATGGACTTGTTTTAGTGTATTTTGATGGTGTTCCTGAGAATTATTTTTATTGTGGGAGCATATAAGTATATTTAATAAATAATTAAAATAAATATTATAAATTAAATTACAATTAAATTTTTAGGAGTGTCAAGATATATCTTTGCATATATCTTTGTATATATTCAATCTGAAGGAGACCTTTTAGCATGGATCTATAAGCTAGCACAAACAAGTAGTATTAAAATATTTTTAAACTTTTAATTAAAATTTAATTTTCAGCCTTTACTTAGTATATTCCTGTTTTATATTTATGATGTTACATTTTAATTCTGTTTTCCCTCGATGCTTGGTTTTAAAGGTTTCATATGTTGGGAAAAATATGTAACTTTTTAGTCTGAAAATTAGATCAAAATTAAATTGAACTCTGTATAAAGAACACTCATGGAACTATAATCAGTAATTGAAATGTAATGCAAAGTATTTCTATAATCAATTATATAATCAAAAGAAGTAACCTTGCATGTTACTGAAGCCTGTATATCTGATTTTGGACATGTTTCTGATAAAAGATTGGTCCTTTTTGTTACATTATTTTTAGATCTTTCAAGTTGCTTACATCATCATAAAAGCTGCTAACGCTCCAAGGCCCGGAAACTGGATTTTGGAACGTTCTGTGAATGGTATTGAATTCAGCCCCTGGCAATACTATGCAATTAGCGATACCGAGTGTCTAACCAGATACAACGTGACACCAAGACTTGGTCCTCCTACATATAAGAAAGACAATGAAGTGATATGCACTTCCTATTATTCTAAACTTGTTCCACTTGAGCATGGAGAGGTATGTTTTCTTTTGGTTCATGTGCCTATTATTTGTGGCCGTGGAAGGAATAAAATGATAACAAAAATCTTTCTGCTGAAAAGTTCATTCTGTTTTTCCTCCATCCATCTTTTATCTATCAATAGTAGCAACTGAGGCAGGTTTGATTTCTGAGGATCAAAAGCTTTCCAATTTATGAAACACTTCTTGCAGGGGACACTTTGAGTCTCCTCTGAAGTAGAATTCCACAGATCTGGTAGTATCTGAACAAGGAAATTATTCTTTGTTTTGATACTAAACTAGTGCAACACATTGTATGGTGCTGTATTTGAAAAACGTTTAGAATTTGAAATTAATGCAAAGTACTGCAATGAGGTTGCTAACCCAGGAAAGGAAAAGTACAGAGATTATATGTCTTTATAGAAAAATCTATAATGGGTGTTAGTTGTTTTCTAGGCATAATTCAAGGTGTTTATCAGAGGGATAAAATATCTCTTCTGCTGTGAACCTGTTCCATATTTTGGAGAGCCCCTTTGAAGATGTTGACCAAATGCCAGTATCTATTTCTAATAAATGGGAAGGGCCTTGTTCTGGTTACAATTCTTTTGTATTTTTCTCCTAAAGGATGTGAATTTGTCTGTATGCTCTCAGAATTTATAAAATTGATTTTTATTTGTATTGATTATGTTGTTTTTCTTTACACTTACATTTTTATTTCAAATGTTGAGGTCTAGTTTGTTTGCTTATAAAAATAGGACAGTTGATAAGCTTCATAAATAACACAATAGATAAAATGTACATTCTCCTTTAGCTGGATCTCAATTGTTTTGTAGGGAAAGTTTTTAATAAAATTGTTTAATTGCTTTAGGAAAAAAATAACACACTGGAATAAAAATCTGAATGACTGTATGCAGCTTGAACTCTGAAATAATTGTTGGCATCATTTCAAGGAGAGCTTGATCAAAAGAGCTGGCATTGGCAGGTCAACAGTTGATTGTTATTCCTTTCAAGCAGCTCTATTCATACTTGCTATCTGGCATAGATCAGAGAAGCAACCCGTCTTATAAGGAAATTGTGCATTGAAAATTAACCTGCAATGAATGCAGATAGAACTCTGACTTCAATACAAAGTTACTAGAAAAGAAATCTAAAATTTTCCTTAAAAGAATATGCATTTGGAACTAAAACACTAGTAACATTAATTTAGTAAATGCTAAATTGCTGCTCTAGGCCTAGTTACAAGCATGGTCCAACGTTAAATTGAGATATCAGATTGCTGGATATTTCTGATGTTTCCTGAGCTGAAACATTTGTTCTAATCCTCATAATTGAAAGAAATTTAGAATAAAGCATGTTAGGAAATTTTAGTAGACTTTTAACTGGGTTTAATGCTTTCCTGACTTTTAAAGTTAAATGGAATTAGCGTCTATACGTTCCAGACAGATTTTATATCATGGAGAATTCTTTGAATTAAAGTCAACATCTGGACAGCATCCAAGTAGGAGAAGGCAGGTTTAAGTTCTCAAATTATTTAAACAAAAATCCAGCTGTCAACTTCATTGTTTTCATCCTCCTGCTGCTGCTGGCCAGGGATTCAGATGAGGGGGGCAGCTGTAAGATGTGCAAGCCGTGCAGAGCACAGGGGAGACTGCCAGGCCCAACAAGGGAGTGAGGGAGTGGGACAGGATGGTGATGCATGGCATGCTTTGTTGCAGGCAAGGCTGGAGAGGCTGTAGTGTTTCCCTGGGTAGAGGCTATGAAGAAGACACTGTTCAGAGTGGTGGCAGAATTGTAGGAAGTGGAGGGACAAAGGCTTCTTGGAGAGCCAACGCATGTTCTGCATATCACATTGGAAGTGCTTCAGCAGGCTTCAGTGAGGGGTAAAGGTGAGCCCAGTAACAGCAGAGTCTACCTGTAGGTCCTCTGTTCTTGGCCCAGCCTTCATCCTACAAAGCCTTGCAGGGTCTTGCAGTTTCAACATGTTGAAATCCTCAGATTGGTTGTTCAGGCTGCTTCACATGAGCGCTCGGTAGCTCACAGCAGGTTGAGGGCATTGAATTGCTCCTGTGATTATAAGTGCAGGCAAGCTGTCAAGTCCCCAAATTCTGATCAGGTGAACAGGAGGGCACTGCAACAGCCAGAAGTTTGAGGATCAGCAGTAACTTTCATTCAATGTTGCTGAAACTCTCAATAGTTACTGAATGAACGGTCATGAAGTATAGCTCTTCCTGAACTTCCCAGGGCACATATACAGATGTAACAGATGAGGAGAATAGAAACACACACACACATGCAAACATATGCACAGATGGAATACATTTCATTATTTTGTTACAAAGAAGAAAATATAGATACTTCCAATGTCCAATTTTGCTAAAGGGATATGGAAAAAAAAACAAGAAATATGCTCTGCATACATCTTGGCGTATTTGGAGCTTTAACTTAGTGGTGCTTTCTCTATAGCTTATAGTCTTAGTGACTAGTCCCTTTTTCTGTCTCATATGTCGTATGTTTTCAACTTTGCATTAGGCTTTTTTTGAGCTGTGGGCTTCTATTGCCATTTCTCATATTTTTTTTCCTCTTTGGAATTTTTCCCGTTCTGCTTTTAGTACCTTCCTTTTAGGAATTGCTACCTACCTTAAGCTCCTTTTCCTATTATATCCTTTTGCTGAGGGATCCTGCAGTCCTGCAGATTGTTGTTGGGTTTCTTTTAATCTATATTTTTGAAGGATATTTTTGAATACCTCTTTAAGCACATTTAGTGTCCTGTAAAATCCATAAGTTCAGCATGATTGCATTTCCACACTATTTATTCCTTTGATTCTCCCCTGTTAGTTAGTAACAGGTCAAGGACTGCTGATCTTCCAGTGTTTTTTTCAAACTTCTAAAGCAGAGATTTGTCAGGATTGTGAGTTAGAAATTTCCGGGGAGGTCCACTCTTGGCAGAATTTATCTCCCCATAGAAAAAAAAGAGTTTGTATGAGATACAGACAGCTGATTCAACATCTTTAAGAAGGAATGTAAGGGATGTGTGTGTGAGGAGGTATTCAGTGAACATAATAGAATTTGAATTTGGTAAATCTTGTGCAGATCAGTCCAGTTCTGTTATTGTGTTCTTGAGTTCTTGCTTTAAAAAAAAAAGACTTTGAAAAAGCAGTTTTAAATAAGCAAATATAAAAGAAGGAATTTTATGTATAACAAACTGCAAATAAGAAAATAAAGCACTATTTGGCCTGAGTTTCACAAAACTTTGATTGTTCACCATTTTTCTTTTGACCTGTTTGCCAGCATACAAAAGCTTTTTGTTTTGTTTTGTTTCTGTACTATAAGCTCATTGGCTGGTAAATAATTCTAAATTCTTACAGAAGCCTATGAATGAGGAAACACCAGTTATTTTTACACAGATATGGACAATGTGCTTATAATTAAATTAGTCTTATTTTTTAGATACACACATCACTGATTAATGGGAGACCTAGTGCTGATGACCCTTCGCCAGCATTACTGGAATTTACCTCTGCAAGATATATCCGTCTCCGATTGCAGCGGATAAGAACTCTTAATGCTGATCTCATGACCCTTAGTCACCATGATCCTAAAGATGTTGATCCTATTGTTACAAGAAGGGTAAGCCGGTGATGTTCATTTATCAGTGTGCTTGAAACCTGTTATCTCTGCCTTGATGGAATTTATCCTAAAATAGGCTAAAATCCAGAATACTTGTTAATTTTTCAGCATGGAAGAATTAAGACGCTTATCATTGTCTTATGGGTGCTTTTTCAAATAATATTCCTGGAAATTAGGAGTACTGTGATACACTAATATGCTAAAATAGCGTATATGGTGATGTGATGACACATGGGCTATCTTCCATATTAGTCAACTATCTGTTTGGTAACTATGGCAAGGGGTTTAAGTATGGATTTAGAGCTCTTTTGGGGTCAATTTGTTTATTACCTAGTTAATTAAATATTAGTAAACAAGAATTGCTCTTCAAATACAGAACTGATTGCTGAAGCCAACTTGTTAGGCAAGGAGCATGATACCATGCTAGAAATGCACTGTCTTAACACTGACAATTAGCTCATAAACCTTGTTCTGCAAAAATACTCAATTTATGCACTGAGTGTTCTTTTATATAAAATACAGGTAGTATCTTGATGTAAAGATATATTGTGAACAGTGCTTTGTTTTAGAACAGCAACAATAGTGGTGAAGTAGCATTATCTGAAGGATCTAATACAGGGGTGTCAAACTCACAGCCCGCGGACCAGATGTGTCACGTACTGGCTACGCTCCTGCCCGGTTTAGTGAAGGGGAAAAAAGTTCCGGTACATCACATGATGCCGCTGTGACAACGCAAGTTTGACACCTCTGGTCTAATACTATTTTACAATTAGGTTAACCTAACAGGTGCCATAACCCTGCTAAAACTATTCTTGTTTCATTTCTATGAGAATGAAGACATATAATTACTTTTTAAACTTTCTGTAAAACCAATCTTATTAAAAATATTTCTGTATATTAAAGTAGTTTTAATTTTGAACACATGTAAATCTGAGCGCGTACAATATAATGTGTTGTATTGTATATGTATGTCCTTGAACAGTTTTATGTTATTTGTAGGGATTTTTAGATTTAGCATAAGAACATGACATAAGAATATGCCCTGACTGATCAATGTAATTTGTGTGTGTGTGTGTGTGTGTTTGTGTGTAAGGTGTGTGTGTGTGTGTGTGTATGAAGACCTTCACATGTAAACCTTATGTGTAAATTCTAACTGAAGCCAATTGCAATTTAGAAACTGGATTTTTAAAAAATTATAATTAAATATTTATGCATCATTATTTTCTAATGAATATTGGCTTATTGTGTTTCTGTTAAATGCATTAAACTTAATGACTCAAACTTTGCTTTATTTAGTATTACTATTCAATAAAAGACATCTCTATTGGAGGCATGTGCATTTGCTATGGGCATGCTCGAAGTTGTCCTTTGGATAAACACACAGAGGTACTTTTTTTTTTTACTTGTTCCTACAGACAAATGTACATTTTTGCCTTTTTGAAAAGCAAGATTATTTAGAAAGATAATATGATTGTCTGCTATTTATTGAAATGATAGCATTTCTAACACTTTTCTTTGTCTTATATCATATTAACTTTACATGAATTAAAGGGCCTTTTAAATCAGTGAACAAATACATACAAATCCAAAAAAGCTTACAGGAATAGGAACAGACACCGAGTGGATTGCTTTAACATTGCATAGGAATTAAGAAAATATGCTACATAAGAACGTATAGACTCAGTTCAAATGCATTATGTTTCCTTTTCTGGACATCTTCCTTACCAAATAAAACTATTTTGTATACACAGTTACACAATCGTATATAGATAACATCTGCTTGCAAACAAACAGCTGTGCAGACATGACAAGTGTTAACAATGCCTAAGCATTGCATAAGCACACTGCCTTGTGAAAACTTGTCAAAGTCCTGAATCATTAAAACATCTTAGATTTTTTTAGTCTCTTTACATTTTTCTGCAATTATTTTCATAGCTAAGTGCTTGAAGTATCTGATAAATTATTTTGTAAATGAAATATATACTACAGTTTATCCCTATATTATGCTTTAATGTATTGTTAGCTTTTTTGCCTTCTAGCAAATTATCTCTCTGGTAATTTGTTCATTTTTATAAAAAAATGCTGAAATTACTTACCTGCAATCATGCGCCACATGTTAATATGTTTTATCCAGAGTATCAGATAGGTGATGAAGAATCATGAGATGGAGTAAATTAAGAGTGACATTTTTTTACTGGGAGTTGGATTTTAAGACAATGAAACTTAACGGGTTTTTAGTTATTGCTGGAAAATAAATGTTTTTATTATTTTATAAGTAGAAGGAAAATAGGACAGTGTTCAGGAAATGGATAGTTAAGATCCAAATAGGCTACACAGAAGTAGTGTTTAATGAAATATATAAAGTCACAAAGAGAAGCCAATCATGAGGTCACACAGAGACATATCATTTTAGATCCTATGAAATATTGAAACATTTTGGTTTTAGTTATGGAATGTTTTGGTTATATGGAAAACCAATGGTAAAAATCAGATATCACCTGGAACTTTGTTTTCAGCTCTAATGAACCAGATAAGCAAAGGACAGAAGCAGCAGTAAAGAATTTTTCAGATTACTACATTGACCTATCAGCTTCTGCTGCACTCCCCCCCCCCCCAGCTTTCAAGCCCTGGGTTTCCATGTAGTTTGCCTTTTAAATACTAACCAGATCAACCTTTGCTCCACTTTTTTCAGAACAGCCTATGTTGGGTAGAAACAGATGTAACTTTCTCCAATTCTTTATTAAGTCATTCAGTTTCTCACATCTATGTTTAAATAAATGTCCACATTTGCACCTAGCGGTATCTGTCCACATCATCAACAAGCAGCTTTGCTTGTTGTATCTGGATTTTAAAAGAAGCTTTTCCCTTTCCTTTCTCTTTTGTTTTTCTTTTGTTCATACTATTGAACTACTTGTATTTATCAGTTGCTATTGTTGCTTTTTCATTGGATTCTTACAACTCTTACAGATGAGATTTTACACCAAGGTTTTGTACAAACTTACAATATACACAAGAATCTATCCAGCCCTAAACACTTAGAGGATATTTCAGGTATTTCTTAAATGTGGGATAAATAGTTTTGTTTTAAGGTAATTGGTAATAGAATCATATTATAATTTATTTTCATGTAGAAACTACAGTGCCAGTGTGAACACAATACTTGTGGTGAAAGTTGTAATGAATGTTGTCCTGGCTACCATCAGGCACCATGGAGACCTGGAACTATTTCTGCTGGCAACAAATGTGAAAGTATGTGGTACTAAATGACAGATCTCTTAAAGTTTACCACTTTACTGATTAGATAAGTAATCCATTCATCACTAAAACCATGAGTTTGACATGGGGAATTCTCTTTAATGATGCATAAATATTTCTAACACTGAAAATTTATAAGTAGTAAAATTTAAACCAAGCTTGTAAAACCTATGAATTTTTCATTTTTTCTTTGGAGCATATATTATCAGTCTGTCACCTTATTTCATGTAGAATTTAGATATTTGTAATTTTAATTTTCATTCTAATCTTTCAATAAAATATATAATCCAATATCTATATGTTTTGAGGAATAGAATGTGTTTATTAAACTGAATATATCATGTTATATATAAATGTATTATAGAAAATTAGATGTGAATTCATCAATAATCTTATTAGAATAAAATTGGGAATACTAAATAAACACCAGCAGCATAATACTCTTTTTTACTATAAGGTTTATGAATAAAGCTATTTTGATTAGTGACAGGTGGGAGACCAAAATTTTATTCATTCATTCATTCATTCATTCATTCATTCATTCATTCATTCATTTATCATGTCCATCTCCCTGATAAGGCAACTCTACATGATATTAATTATTATTTATTTTAATAGAAGGTTAAAGTCTTCCATCTATGTTTAATATTGAGTGTTATGTAAAAGGTTAATTTTGCATGTAGAATATAATGTGTTCAGTTTGTTTATCTGGTTGATTCACTTATTTACACACACACACACACACACACACACACACACACATACACACACACTAAAAGAGTATTGTTTTTTTTTTAGGATGCAACTGTCACAACAAAACAGAAGATTGTTATTATGACCAGAGAGTAGCAGATGAAAAAAAAAGTATAAACATATTTGGTCAATTCAAAGGAGGTGGAGTATGCATAAATTGTACACAACATACCACTGGAATAAACTGTGATGTGTGTAGTAATGGCTACTACAGACCACAAAAAGTAAGAGGATTCTGAAATATTGTTTATCATTACTTGTAAACAATGCTAAAACTTGACATCTAGTTTTTTTGAGCTTTACTATTCATTTAATATGTGGTTAAAACCATGTGAATTCATAATGAAATGATAAGACTAGGAAGACTGTCCAGCCATGTACAAACAATTTGTGAAAATAGTATCTCATGTATATTTTGTGTTATACCTGTTTACCTGTATATATAAACTCAACATTTGTCAAGACATCATTTACAAATACATATTAGATCAAAAGAAGGGAATTTCTGGCTTATGGGACTTTGTACCCTTCTCAATTTAAGAAACAATCCCATGAAGCCTTTGGCTTTATTATAGCCTCATCTGTGCCAGTTTCTCTGTATGGTGTCTTTTCCCCACAGAGTCATACTCAAGCCATAGGGCCAGGGTTGTACAGATGCTCATGTTTTTAGAAATAAATCTGTGTTCATTTTTGTAACATACAGAGAGTTTCCCGGTTCCACAATGGCTGGTTTCAACATTACCTCATTTATGCTTACATTTATCTAGTTTTTGCCTTGCACTCATCCCATGGAAATAACTAATCAATCCTTGCCAGTTGAGATGTATATCTTCATATATACTCCTAAAAAGGAACAAGAATTCATTTTCAGTAGCATCAAACAGTTAATAAAAATTAAAATATTCCAGGTGTCTCCTTATGACAACAATCCTTGTCGTCCATGTGAATGTGATTTATTTGGGTCCTTTGGCTTTGACTGTGTTAAGGATAATAATCATGCTGACCCCCAAAAAGGTAAGAGTAACGGTCTAGGCAATATTTACAAAATCAGGTATTGGATCTATAAGAAACAACGAAACATAAAATTCAATTCAGTTTCTTTGGATTTTATTACCGTTGTACCTATATAAAGGAAGAATAAGCAACTTTCTTGTATTTATTTTATTTTTTTCAAGATATTCAGCCTGGTCAATGTCATTGCAAGGAAGGGTATGCTGGAAAAAAATGTGACCATTGTGCTTTTGGCTACAAAGGTTATCCAAATTGCATACGCTGTAATTGTAGCCTCGTTGGCAGCATCAATGATGATCCGTGTAGTGAACCTTGCCTTTGCAAAGTAAGTATAGCTCTGATTTTTAGTTTGATTTACTATACAGTGGTACCTTAGTACTCAACTGCTTTGAAATTCAGCAAATTTGGTACTCAATGCATTTTATGTGAAAATTTTGTCCTTATACTCATCATTTGTTTGGTACTTTATGTATAAGCTTGAACTTGTGGGTGTCGGCTGTCTTGTGACTCACTACCTTATTCCTCATGGGAAAAATGTGTTTGGTACTCATCATTTTTGTACTTATGTGCCTCCTGGAACTAATTAATGATGAGCACTGAGGTAACACTGTACTAAAATTTTTATTAATAATACACTTTAAAGTGGAACTTGTCCATTTATTTATTTTGGGAAATTTCTTTCTTAATAGCAATCCTACATCTAATTCTAACAATTAATTGGAGTTAAGCCAAAATCTACCAGATGGGGATTTAAACTAAGATACATGATACAGGTATATCACACTGGCAAAATTATGTATCAGATTCTGTGATTAAATTTTGGCTTGGAAAGAGCAATTCCAAATTAAGATAACATTGGTGGGGAAGCGGGGTGCTTGGGAATACATTAGTTGGTTTTTTTTAACCACTCACATTTACTCACACATTATTTATCTAGGAACAAAAATCTACTATCTATAATGACTTTGATGTTCTAATATGATTTTATTATAAGCTTCAAGAAACTTCATTTCCCTGGCATTAGGCTTAATACTGAGCTTGTAAGTGCCAAAATAAAAAAAACTGATTGAATGGAATTTAAACCAAAAAATGATAATGGCGAAAGTTGACCTTTTTTTGTGACCATGAAGTAGATTGACCTTTTTGAACCTGACATTCATCAGTTATGTGGAGCCTGTAGTCACAGTATGCATAGTCAGTATGATATTTGGTATCTTTGCTTGTCATGTGGACATTCTCAGTATAAAATACAAGTACTTATTGACACATAACATATAAAGGGTGAAAATTTTCTATTCAATACTTTAGTTCAGAAGAAAAGTTCTAGAAAATGTTAAGGTAAAAATGCTACTACGTTTTATTGTATGTTGGTTCTGATTATGTTCATAGGAAAACGTAGAAGGAGAAAATTGTGACCGTTGCAAATCTGGATTCTATAATCTTCAAGAAAGAAACCCACAGGGTTGCACTGAATGCTTCTGTTTTGGTGTTTCTGATGTGTGTGAAAGTCTTCCATGGTCCACTACTAAGGTATAATATGACTAATATTCCACAATTAGTATCTCATTTGTTTTCTTCAAGCATAAACATTCCCTGTGTTATCTTTGCCTGACAGGCATTCCATTTCAGTCTGATTTCCATAAATGCTTTTAGTCTGTTAATTATTTCACTCAATAAAAACTTAGGTGTAAGAGGCTGCAATTTAGGTTTAAACTAAAAAGCCAAAGAATATCTAAGAAATGGAATGATAAATATAAAGGATACCAAGTGAGCAAAACATAATTCATACTTCTATTTTATATGTGTTTAAATGATAGAAAGCAGCAAATTATCTAGAGATATATTATAATATTTGAAAGTACTGTTCAGTTACAAGTTTGCATACAATTTCCCTATTGAAAACCAAGCACTAAAAATTAAAGTAAAAGAGATGCTTGAATTTTAAGTATAAGTACCATATTTTTCAGAGTATAAGACATTCCGTACTATAAGATGCATCTAGCTTTTGGGGAGGAAAACAAAGGGGAAAAAATCTGCCTCTGCCTCCCAGCAATTTGCCTCCTTGCAGCAAACAGCAAACAGCCTGGTCAGCTTCAGCAAAGCCTGATTAACATAAGCAGCTGATTGTTGGTTGGATCGACCTTCCGATAATCAGCTGTTTCAGGCTGCAGGGATTGCCATAGCCTATTACCGCCTCTGTGCGTCCCAATTTTGGCCTCCGCATCCCGTTTTCAGCCTCTGCACACCTCATTTTCAGCCTCAACGCGGGCAGTGGGGTTCGGAACCAGAGATGGTACTCAGCAGGTTCTGACCAGTTCTGCAGAACCAGTAATGTAAATTTTGAGTAGTTCAGAGAACCAGCAAATATCACATCTGACTGGAGATTTTACATTATCTTTCCCCTGCCACGCCCACCAAGCCACGAACCGGTAGTAAAAACATTTGAATCCTACCAATGATCGGAAGGGACAGAAAATGGGACGCGCAGAGACCGAAAAACTTTATCCTGTGATTTCTGTTTTGCTTGGATTACTCTGCCATAACACAGTATCATATTGTGAGCCAAATAAAAATAGAACTTTGCTAAAGCAAAACACACACAAACAACACACTTTCTGTTTCTTGATTACTTGAATGCTTGATCATGTTTCCTGTTTTATTAAGGTGTCTTCTATGATTGGGTGGGAGGTGACAACTCTATATTCTTCAAAAACTATACAACCTCAAGAAAATCACTTTGATAAATCTCATCAAATAAGTATTAACGACACTGAGGTTGCAAAAGTACTAAACCCTCCTTATTACTGGTCTGCACCTAAATCATACCTTGGAAATAAAGTAAGTACTCTGGAGGAAATGTGCTTTTTTCAGTGTTCTGTATATGTATAAAGTTTTCTGCATTGCATATTCACTTTATTATATATATAATGTAATGTTCAAAAAGCATAGGACATCTTTTCCTAGGAACCCTACCATATTAGGATCATTAAAGTTAAATCTGGAATATATGTCATCTCTGCCTCTTGCTCAAAAAAATGGTGTTGGCATTAAGATGCAAACATTGTGAGCAAAAAGGATTGTGCATTTAAATATAGTAGCTGTTTTCCCATGTCTATATTTATGATTTACTTATTGTACAGGAAAGATTTGATTTAAGAAATATTCAGAGAACTGTTGCAAGGTACAATTTAAACGTTAAACAATAATTATATTTAGGCACCTCAGTTGTTCCAAAAACTAAGAATTGGTTTTTGAAAATTTACGATTGTATGTAATAGAAAGATAGTGAAATTAAAAAGAGGCTCGGAATTAAAAAAAAATCAGCAAATGTAAAATGTCAAGTTAGACATAGATGTTAGAATGTGATGGCAAATTTCCAAAAAAGATTTTTCTTAGGATTTATTTGTTTTGTGTCTAATCTAGCATTTAACAGATAATTTAATAAGAAATCTTAAAAAGGTGAAATCTATTTTTGATGCAAAAATTATATTTCATTTTCATATTGCCAAAAATAAGATAAAAAAATAACATTTTTTATTTCTTGCCTTTTATGCTTTCAGCTCACTGCCTTTGGTGGCTCTTTAAAGTATACCGTGTCTTACGATATTCCCATGGACAGTACAGATAGTGACTTGGTATCTAGTGTCGATGTTATTATCCAGGTAATTGTATTAAGTGGGCAGGGATACAAAGTATGAATGCATAAAGTATTCTGAATGCTTTTGAGGGAGGAAGTTCCAGACTTGGTACAGGTAGTCCTCAACCTCAAATTGTTAAGTGGAGCACCGTAACTTGATTGTTAAGTTTCCCAGTTGACTTTGCTTGTCAGAAGGTCACAAAAAATGAACACATGACTTTGGGAACAGCAATGGTCATAAATATGGACCAGTTGCCAAGTGGCTAAATTTTGATCACATGATCATGGGAGGCTGCTACAAAGGTCGTAAGGGTGAAAAACAGTCATAAGTCACTTTTTTTGGTGCTGTTGTAACTTTGAATGGTCACCAAATTAACTGTTGTAAGTCGAGAAGTACCTGTAGTTCCTTCTTCTGGTAGTAGTTCTTGTTCCTTTGGCAGTGCTTCCTAGAGGGTCTTCTGAATTTCTGCAGATGGTCCTTTAGTAGAGAGTTGAGAAAAGATACCCTTGCAACAATGAACTTGGAAACCTCCTCCAACATGCAGACTTTTGGCTTTTAAATTTTTCTTTAAAATTAAAAAAATATATGTGGTGATATTTGTGTACACTGTCAGTGCATCTGATTTAAAGCCAAGAGCTGTCTTCTCCCTCATGGTGTCTTCCAGTTGTACTGAGACTTGGTTTAGATGGAAAAGTAAAGATGTTAAATGGGTTTTATGGCTAAGTCGGTTTATTTCCATGAAAATGTGTTTAAATTCATGATCTAGGCATTTCTTAATGGATGGTGCGCAAAATGTTTTGAATTTGGATTGTTCAGAATACTTTATTTTAAATCCCATTTGAACAGAGTTTAGAAACTGGAAGGTTTTGCACTTGAAACATACTTTTTTTTTCTTCTTTAAAATCCTGATGTACTTCCAATATAATTGACATATAGATAAAGATATATGACATTTGAAACTGATGTTTTCCATTAAGAACAATTCAGATTCAAAACATATGACATACTCTTAAGAGAAATGTAAAGTTTGGAAAAGATAGTGTGGGTTTTGGGGAAAAGAGGAATCCTGGGAACCTTGTATGGTTTCCATTAAGTGTAATTTTAAACAATTTCCAATTATACTTTAGAAATGTATAAAATAACAATACCTGTCATTTCAGGGCAATGGATATATTCTTTCTACAAGATCTGAAGGGCTGTCTTTGCAACCATATGAGGAATATTCCAGTACAGTGCATCTTATATCTGAAAACTTTGTTGATTTTAATACAAAGAAGTCAATAGATCGAGACACACTGATGACAGTTTTAGTTAATGTTACCCGTATTCTACTTAGGGCCAGTTACAACACTGCAGAAAAATCTGTATATAGGTAATACAAAGATCTGCTTAATATATATATATATATATTTCAGCCATACCAAAAGAATCACAAAAGAATCTCAAAAGCATTTAATGTGTTCTTTTATTAAAATATTCAAAAGTTTGGACAAAGGGCTAATTTTCCATGGGATAATATCAGGTTCCCATTTTTTTTAAGTTAAATAGGATTAAGTGATAAGAAATGTAAAAGAATAACAGACAAATAATGTGACCTGAAATTATTATCCATTACCCATATTTGCCAGGATCCTGGCTGTATTACAAATGTTGTAAAGCTCATATTGATTACAATTGGATTTTATTTAGAGCTACTGAATGTATAATAGATTGTGAAATGTATTTTATGTGGAATTATGCATTCAGAACAAGAAACAATGCAAAGTTTTATCTCTGCATTTTTGTGGTTTTATGGCTATGGATTATTTTACACAGTGAAAAAACCCCAATACATTGTTTACATCATTGATTTCCCATTTTTATTGCAGGTTGGACTCTGTGACTTTGGATACAGCAAATGCTAATCTTATAGATCTGTCTTCAGCTGTACATGTAGAATATTGTGAATGTCCACAGGGTTACTCTGGAATATCTTGTGAAGTAATTTCAATATTTTATTTATTTATTTATTTATTTGTTATGTAATAGTATTGCCTCATTTTAAAAATGGGTTTTCCAAAGGGATCACACGATCAATTTACTTATCAGTGAAGCCATATATAGAAATACAATGGAAAAATATCAGCATGTAACCACGTAGTAAGAAGTAAAAATTATCAAGCACGGTCAATGACCACCAGCAAAAAACAACAATAACAAAATAAAATCCCAAGAAATGTGTTTGAAAGGACATATTTAATAAATATAATCAAAATTAAATAGATTAGAGAATAAAATGTTACTTGCCAGCATTGCCAAAATGGTACAATATGTACAGTCATTACTTCTTTCAGGAAATTCCAAAATTGTGGGGCATCTACAATAAAGATGTCCTTCTCAGGGAATAAGACTTCCAAAGATTAATTGATTTCCCTCCTTTATTATTTTTATATATGACTCAAGGCAGCAATACTATTTCCTCCTATTTCCCCCAAAACGATCATCCTGTGAGGTGGGTTGGCTGAGAAGAAATGGCCAAAGTCACCCAGTCAGCTTTCATGCCTAAATTGGAATTAGAACTCACAGTCTCCTGGTTTCCAGGGTAGCACCTTAACTACTGTTCCAAACTGGCTTTAAAGATAATTCTAATAACTGACTCTAAGATAGCCACTTAGCATGCATATTAGGGCGGTGCAGCTTTTAAAGCACCAATTTGCATACCCAGTCATCTTTCCCCCTTCAAACTTGGTTTTGTGTCACATCCCTGGTCTATAAAAGCTTATTAGAAATTTATAGCAGTTAAATTTACATACAAATTGCCTTTTGACCTGCAGTTTTGAAAATTGAAGTGCCAAAATACCATTTCCTATTCTATCTGTCTAAAACAACTTCACATATTTTCCATTTTGTGAATAACATAACCTTTCTCTTACATTTTAAGGAACCTGGTGAGAGTTCATTTTCCCTGTAGCTAGATCTAAAATTAAAATCATGTCATTGTTATTCTTTCTCTTGTGAAAACTATTATTAATTTGTTATTTATTAATAAAACTCATAAGAATATTAATATATTTAGAAAATATTTTCTGTTATATCCTATAAGAAAGAATTCACTAGTTTAGCTCACTTTTGAAATTGTTGTCAGACGTAGAGAGGTCTGCAATTAGCTTTTGTTAAATTTTCTGAAAAAGCACTATAGATCTAAAATTGTAAAGTTTATTTATAGGTAACATAGTTTGATTTGGTTTAATGGGTTTTCAAAATATTGCTATACTGAACCGTAAGGTTAGATTTATGATAATTAACACATGCTTGCTGTAATTTCTTTTTTTACTACTATTTTTAGTCCTGTGTTCCTGGGTACTATCGAGTGGATGCAATACTTTTTGGAGGGATTTGCCTGCCGTGTGAATGCAATGGTCATGCAACGGAATGTGATAGTCATGGTGTTTGTATTGTAAGTTTGTGTCCTGCTTGTAAGATCAAACCATTCCTGGTTTTTTAAAATGTTGAATTTTTAAACAGGCATCAAACGGGGAGGGATACACATTTTCCTAACTATTTCTGCTACCTTTAAAGCAGGGGTGTCAAACTCAAGGCCTGCGGGCTGGATCCGGCCCACAAGGTGCTTAAATCTGGCCTGCTGGAAACAGCAAAGGACAGGCACGCGGTCCCTCTGCCAGTGAAAACGGGCCCCCAATCTCTGTTTTTGGCTGGGACGGTCTCCTACAACTCTCTGCAAGCAATAACGGAACTCAGGAAGTCCGTATGCGGGAGGGGCACACCCCTGACAAGAGTGACATCAAGATGGCCACGCCCACTTGTCCACACACCACCACACACACACACACACACACATTCCGAGGTTAAACACAACCCTGATGCAGCCCTCAATGAAATTGAGTTTGACACCCCTGCTTTAAAGCCTATTTTTTGTGCGTATTAAAGTACCTTCGAAGTCTGTCTTTAGTTATAACTAATGTAAAACATATTTTATAAGAAAATCCATGCAAGCTACAGCTTTTTTCCATTCAGGTCAATGGCCAAATTCCTATAGATTTGGATGGAAAAATACAGGAGCATTTTACTTTATTATTTTATTTGTATGGCATCAAAGTAATTCTAGTTGGCTCCTAACTGGTAATTAAGTTATTATTTTAAAAAAATTATTGTGAGCATTATTTCCAGATAATATTTTCTTAAGAAATAAACATTATTTCTTTAAGGATGGAAATAAAAATATCTGAATGAATTGTATGATTGCCAAATTAAAATACATTTAATTTTCTTTCATTCCCCATCAAAGTAATGAAGCTAATTTATGAAATCAAATGTGCGTATCAGTTCTGGTAAAGGGCGCATGCTTAAGTTGTTGCTGTGAGTTTACAAAAACCTATTGCCACTGGCATCCCTGTTTCTTTGTGTTTGTTCTTTGAATACTAAATCTGCATGCTTTTTCATACTGAGCTCCCTCTGGGAATAAAATTCCATCCAAATTAAGTATCAAAAGGCTTCTTGTTTGTTTATAGGCATGTGAGCATAATACCACAGGGGAATCTTGTGAGCAGTGTTTGCCAGGATTCTACGGAATGCCTTCGAGGGGAACCACAGAGGATTGCCAACCATGTGCCTGTCCACTGAGAAGTGCTACTAACAAGTAAACTGCTTATTGGAAATGCTATATAAAAACTCCAGCAATTTCAGAATAGGCGGGGCCGCTAAGGGACAAGGGAGTGGAGGAAGGAGAATCAGAATGGGAAGGGGGAAAAGTCAAAAATTTCACTTCATTCTTCTCAAATGGTCACTCTTGTTGGCTCAAATGAGGAAGTTTTGTTTTTCTCAGTTTTTTTAAAGTTAAAATGTAGCCTGTCTTGAAAAGTAGTGTTGTGTGCTGCTCGCATTAAAAAAAATATCTGATAGAATTTTGCTATTTATATGAAATAAGAGTAATTTAAGCTGAGTCTTGCCAAGTGATTGGTAGCAGTCCAGTAAATTGTTTCAGACATTCTGGAGACGTTTATCTTTTAAAGGATTTAAACATTTTTTCTCCTAAGTACTGTGAATCTTTCAGATAATGTAAAGTTGTTTATGAAAATCCACATGCATGTAGCTAAGAATGTAATAGTCAATATACTTACACAGGTGTAACACAATTTGAAACAATAATGAGTGGGGCTTGATTTTAAATAGGCACATGCAGGATTACACACTGATTATATTTTCCTGTGTTCACTAATTACTACATTGTGCAGTCATGAATTGTGCATGTATTTGATGCATTAACTTTGTATAATCTATCTCATAATTCTTAAGTTATTTATTTTTAGTTTCAGTCCTACTTGTCATTTGGATAACAGAGATGAAGTTGTCTGTGATAAATGTGCTCCAGGATATGCAGGAGTCAGATGTGAAAGGTATGGAGTAGCAGAAATTGTTGTTAGTTAAATGTAATTAAACATAGATGCAACTCATATTTATGATGTTTGTAGTATCCTGGGGTCATGTGATTATTTTTTTAACTTCTGACAGGCAAAGTCAATGAGGAAGCCAGGTTTACTTAACAATCGTGTTACTAATTTAACAACTGCAGTGATTCAGTTTACAAATATGGCCAGAAAAGTCGTAAAATGTCACTTAACAAATCTCTCACTTAGCAAAATAAATTCTGGACTCGATTGTGGTTGTAAGTTGAGAGCTACCTGTAAACGTATTTTGAATGTGTACAATATGGTTTATTCCTTCAAGATCCAATAAGCCCAACTATCTGATATGGCCGATCGTCTCATATTACATCAAAAACAAATGACCAAGAAGATGAATTATTTGATATCCAAAATGTATTGCAAATTTGATCCCGAACTAACTCTTTTCAAATATATCTAAAGTTTTCAATACAATTGCTAAATAGTCTCAGCATTAACTAGCATATCCAGCTATCAAAATATGATGTTTTGCTTTAACATCTATGACATAGGAATTGTTGGCAGTAAGGTTCTTTTGTTTGAAATGAATGGCTGATTTATGTGAGAAAGTAATTTTGTTCAAAGTAGAAGAATAGTTAAAAGGGATGCAGGGAAATAAAAGACAATTGTCCTGAACTTGACCAGTCCTTGCTGGAGACATATCCATAGCTGTTTAAATGTAAAATAAAAAAGAGAAATGAATAAAAAGAAAAAATAGAAAGTGCGGGGAAAAATGGAAGAAGGAAAACATAAGAATATAAGAAACAAGGGGGCGTGCATAAGCGCACCAACGTGCCTACCGTCCCTGTCCTATTGTTTCTCTTATTCTTCTTTTATTTTTCTTATATGTACCCATTTCATGTATTCACAACTATGTATACACTTATACTTATTATCTTGTAAACAATTGGCAAATCAAATCAAATAAATAAATAAATAAATAAATAAATAAATAAATAAATATAGTAAAGAAATACATAAAGAAATGACTTCCTCCTTCATCACGTATATAAATAATTTAGTAGCTTATGCAACAGAAGATTATGTATGTCTTCCTTTATCCATAACAAATCCTCAATAACTTCTGTTCAGTTCTGCATTAAAATCAGAAATAACAACATATCTATTTTCAGCTTGATAAAATAAATCAGCTTTATTTCCTTCCTTTTTACTTTCAACAATCTTGATCTTTAGTTCCTTCAAAGGGTGTCCTAGAATTTGATTTCTTCCAATTTTTTTCTTTGTTCTTTCTCCCAAAATTCTTCAAAGCTTCCTTTTGTAAATCCAATTAAATAGTAAAGTTATCTAGGTCACTCTGTTGCTTTGTTATTTATATATCCCTTTTAATTATTAAGACATCAGCTGGTTTCATTGGTATCTGCAGTATAGCATCTTTTACATATCATTCTTATAGCCTGTCATTTTTAAATTTTCAATCAGTTCCAGTCTTGTCTTTTAACAGAGTCTGTCTATAGAGACAGATACTCTTAAAATTAACTTCTGGTTGCATTGTTCAAAAATTTCCTTCATTGTGTTAAATATTAAAATATTTTGCTCCATTCTACATTAGTAAATCAAATTTAAGTGTTCTTCTCTTTTAATTGTAATCTATAGTTCCTTCTGGTTCCTCTAATGTCCAATCTTCAAAGTCTGGTTTTTTTAAAAAGAAATTCAAAACAGCAGCATTTTCCCATGGGAAGGATTCGTGTAATTAATTCCAAGTTTTTATTGAAGATGGCTATTAGTTCACTTGTAAGTTTCTAAAATTTAAATTCTAATCCCCTTTTGCTGTTAATTCCAAAATATTTTTAAGACCTTAAATTTGTGTTTAAAACCTCTTTCATTAAGTATTGAAGGAACTCCACCTGGTGCTATCAAACTTGATTATTGATCCAAAGATTACTAATAACTGAAAAACAGTTAAGAAGCAATTTCTGAAAGTGATTAGAAAAAGAAACATGGAAACCCAGTGTCCCTTTGAAAGTTCCAACCATGATTTGAGCAAAAAGATTAATATTCCCTCATCACCCTGATCCACCAGAGACCACTATCTTGTGGTCTCATCATCAGGAACAACAGTATGGATCACCTGTGGGTGATTTCAAATCCATTCCAGATATGGAAAGGAATTATGACAAGTTGGTCTATTATCATCTCTTTATTCTGCTGCAGTTGTGGACTTTAGCAGAATTGTCTGCAGTTTGCCATTTCTTCCCTGGAAGAGCCAATGTTACTGTATTGATCCATCTTTTGCAGTTTTTATAACTTTCTTAAGCATGGTATCTGCAATGATTTTTCTTTTTGCACAATAGATCCAAATTATGAAAATAAATAGGAAATATGATTGTAGTCTTACCATCTAAACAGACTCACTGTATCAGTAAGATGAGTGGCATAATAAACAAACCAGCAAATTTCTACTCTGATGTAATTGTCCTATTTTATGTGCAGATGTGCAAATGGATATTATGGCAATCCTTTAGTGCCAGGAAAACCATGTATTCCTTGTGATTGCAATGGCAATGTAAACCCATTGGAAGATGGCCATTGTCATTCAGTTACAGGGGAATGTTTGAAATGCATTGGAAATACTGTGGGACATCACTGTGAAAGGTGTGCTGATGGCTATTATGGGGATGCAGTGACCAACAAACATTGTTATGGTGAGTTCCTCATGATCAGGTAGATATAAAGTATTTTTAGTTGAATACAGCCAGATTGGTCTCCTGATACTAAATGTCAACTCATAAAATATTTCTATGGTCTTTTTAGAGTTGCCAACAGAAAGGTAGGGGGGGAAAGAGCAGTGTGGCAGCTTGGAAATCAAAAGTGCATTCCATAAATAGTTTTCAAAGATAGTAACTAATTTCTGCCACGGCAAAATTCTAACTGGAGGGCATGATTGATGACTCTTGGCTATGGATGTGTCTCATTGGAGAATATGAATTATGATACACCCAGGGGTTGGGGGAAAACCAGGGTCAAGGGTGACAATGAATTATGTGTGTCAAGTCGGCTACACCCAGGCAGTGCCGGACATGTTAACTCCCAATAAATCCTTTTGAAGTTTTGGAAGTTTGGCTCAAGACGCATGATTTAATTGGGGTAATTGCAGAATCTGACACTAAACACTTTCATTGGGGGTATCGTATCTTGTTTCGAACTGATGTTCTGCATAAACTTTTCATAGACTTTGTCAAATCATTTTGTTTTACAACAAGGAAATTGTTTACAACAGTTGATCTTAAGATTAGAGTGAAGGATACGTACTTCTAATTTAAAAATGTGAGGTTTTCAGTACAGTATTTACTCTCAATATCTTATCAACAATTACCAATCAACAATGTTTTTTTTCTGCATTTGAGCTCTGCCCACCCCAAGATTGTGAGATTATCATGAATACAATGTACTCATTAATAAAATTAGGGAAGTCTCCTTCGAGTAAAAATACTTCCCACTTACAGTTGGAGTTCCTTGTTTTGTAACATTTCTTTTTCCAAAAGATATAAATTTAAAATTATAATGCCCAGACTATAGAAAAGTAAGAAATTAAATTCTACATTTTATTTGGAAAAAAAGTATATAATAGTTACTATTATGTATTTTGTCACAATAATAATCATCTTTTATCTTTGTTCATTTTATATCTAAGTTTGTGAATGTGACATAAACGGCTCGGTTTCCAGCGTCTGTCATCATGAAACTGGCCTCTGCCAATGCAAAGCCAATGTAGTCGGAAAGAGATGTGATAAATGCTTGGTAAAAAACAGCAATTACCTTACTAACATATTATGGTTTTACTAATTATTTGTCCATAGGGTCTAACAATGTACATATTATTTAAATTTCAGTATAATGGTGAAACAATCTAGGTGTAATTCATAGTAACTGAAAGGCACAATCAAACTAAGATGATACACCAAAAAGGGATTTTATTCTTTTTTGTTTGAAGTCATACTGCCCACTGAGAGATCATAACAGACTGGCCTAATTTTAATTCCGGAGATCTTGGGGAATAGAGCCTTATCATCACCCTACATCATTTACATCTGTCTCTCTTTTCTTTATTCCAAATACAGCTGGCATCTGCAAGGCAGGAATGCTGGGAAGTGACAAAAACATATTTCCCAGTCTCCAAGGAATTATGAGATCAGTTTTATAAATCAAATTGATTGAGAAAAAAACATTTAAAATGATAGCTATACTGTCTGTGAGAATGCAACAAAGTTGTTGGATAGAGATAAAGCTTCAGATAATTGAAGTATCGCTTTATCATTAAACTTTAATTTTTATAGTAATTTAAAATTAGGAAATTAAAAATAGAAACAGATGTCCTGTTCATCTCCAGAAAGGCATACTTGAATTGATGTAATTAAACTCTTTATTATAATAGTGTCCTATCCTCTTGTCACATTTTAGAATTGACCCATGCATTAAAAATATAAAAGCTAAAATTAGACAGCCAGAGGATCTGGCATTAATTAGAAATTTAGCAAGCTTTTTATCTCACCAATCTTAAATATACCTTTGAAAGTAGTTTCATGTTTTCAACACTTGCAAATTCTAGCTATCAAAATATTAAATATCTAACACATTTAGGAGCTGTTTATATGCTAATAAAGATTGTACTTTCCCCCAAATGTTAAATTTATGACATTAGCATTTAATTGGTTTTGTCTAATCTACTTGATCTTGATGTATTTCTACATTTTGACAGATATTAGTAGATAGTTGACTGTTAAAATGTTTCATTATTTTTTTTTATTAGATGAATCCCAGGGCATTACTTTAAAAAGTACCCAAATGCTTTTTTTAAAAAAAAAATTCTCTGTGCTGTAAACATAAGAGAGAAAAACATTCCTTTCTAATGCACTTCCAAAGAGAACAGCAAGAGTCTATAGCAGGGGCTCCAACCTTGGCAACTTTCAACTTAAATGTGGTATTAGAAAGGAGAAGAAGAAGGGGGTGGGGAAAGAATGATTTAAAAAGTATCCAAATTCTTTTTTCTTTCTTTCTTACAGTTTGGTTATTATGGCCTCAGTACTACAGCTAGTTGCCTTCCCTGCCTTTGCAGTAAAATTGGCTCAGCTACAGAAGATTGTAATGAAGAAGGACAGTGTCGTTGTGCACTAGGAGTGGCTGGAGACAAGTGTGGACATTGTGCTCCAGGGTTTTATGCATTTCAGGATGGTGGTTGCAAACGTAATTTTTAGCTCATAAACAGATCTTGCAATAACTGAAATTGTTCTAAAAGTGAAAACAGCCCATTGCCTAGGAGCTGCAAACACAAGAGCATCAAAGTGATATGAAATGCCTCTTTGAAGATATTCATGTTCTTACTTTAACATGGAGAATTGTGCTATCTAATCTGTTTTTAGATCCTACAATATAGTTATTTTATATTTATTTATTAATTTTTATCCTGCCCTTCAAGTAACTCAAAGCGGTGAACATACTTAACATTCTTTCCTCCTCATAGTTTCCCCATGATGACTTTGTGAGGTGGTTTGGGCTGGGAGAGAGAGAGAGAGAGAGAGGCCCAAAGCCACCCAGCTGGGTTTTCGTGCCTAAGGCAAGACTAGAACTCATGATTTCCTGGTTTCTAGGCCAGCATCAAACTACACCAAATGGAGTTTGTCTCTCTCTCTGCCTCTCTCTCTTTTTCTTTCATATTACTGTATGAAGCTGGTCCATTTTAAAGGTGAATACAGATGGAAAAGATTAGACAATAAAAAAACACATCACATTTACTTGCAAGAACATTTACTTGATATAGGCCCAATAATGGATGTTTAAATTTCTTTTAATAAAAATTGGAAAACAAATGTTAGGATTTTGCAAGGCATTGATTTTCAGAATGATTAAATCCTAGATTTTAAAAAATGAACTAATAATTCTTCCAATTTACTTGTTTCTGTCTTGCCCTAATTGCAGCTTGTGATTGTGCTCATACTCACAATACATGTGATAAAGATTCGGGACAATGCATTTGTGCTCCTCATACAACTGGAGAAAAATGTGAACTTTGTGAAGAAAATTTCTGGGGTCATGATATAGAAAAGGGATGCAAGGTAATGTGCTTGTAATTTGTTAAAAAAGGAAATTAAGAATTTTGAAAAGTTGGATGAAATTTCATGAATTATTTTATATAAAAATATACATATTAGGTTTTTTTTCCACCATGGGTTATTTCAGAGAAGTTTCCTCTTTTTTAAAATGCATCTAAATGGATAGTTAATAGACAGACAGACAGATAGATAGGTAGACAGACAGACAGACAGACCAATCAGATTAAACCAAGATAAAATCTACCATACAATCCATGAAATACTTGGGTGTAAGTAAAATAATGTAGCACAAAGATTAAACCTAAAACTAGTTCTTAAGGTTAAGAAAAAACATTAAAATTATAAGTGAATTATAAAAATAGAAATTCAATCTACTGTGCATTAAGTTCAGGATATAGAAAAAAATGTTTTATAAAATCTTATCTAAAATATTAATAAGTTGTGATTGTTGGAGCAAATACAAAGATATCACTCTTGTAGATCAATTGGGTACGTTCATATTTGCTATACAAAATGTTGCTACATTAGGTGTAATATGGCTTTTCTTGCCTGATGAAAGAAAATTAACGTAAGATTTCTCAGAAGGCGTGGACCAGAGAATCCGTCTTCTACCATAGTAAAAATGATCAATACAAAGTTTTATTTTTGCTAATCCAATTTTTAGACAATGCAAATGTAAATATCTCAATTACTGAAGTTCTAAATTATTCTCTTAATATGTTAACTGAACTGTAAGAAATCTTGCTATCACAATCTTTTGCACTGTTATCTATAAAAAAAGATTGTATAGAAAAATTTATTTCCTAGTTCATTTTTTTCACATTGTATAGTATATTACATTTTTGTAATATACATTGCTCAAAAAAATAAAGGGAACACAAAAATAAGACATCCTAGTTCTGAATGAATGAAATATTCTCATTAAATACTTTGTTTATTACATAGTTGAATGTGCTGACAACAAAATCACACAAAAATTATCAATGGAAATCAAATTTAGCAACCCATGGAGGTCTGGATTTGGAGTTACACTCAAAAATAAAGTGGAAAAAAACACTACAGGCTGATCCAACTTTGATGTAATGTCCTTAAAATAAGTCAAAATGAGGCTCAGTAGTGTGTGTGGCCTCCACGTGCCTGTATGACCTCCCTACAATGCCTGGGCATGCTCCTGATGAGGTGGCGGATGGTCTCCTGAGGGATCTCCTCCCACACCTGGACTAAAGCATCCCCCAACTCCTGGACAGTCTGTGGTGCAATGTGGCATTGGTGGATGGATCGAGACATGATGTCCCAGATGTGCTCAATTGGATTCAGGTCTGCGGAACAGGCAGGCCAGTCCAAAGTATCAGTGCCTTTGTCTTGCAGGAACTGCTGACACACTGCAGCCACGTGAGGTCTAGCATGTGGCTGCAGTGGAACCAAGGGCCAACCACATCAGCATATCGTCTTACAAGGGTTCTGAGGATCTCATCTTGGTACCTAATGGCAGTCAGGCTACCTCTGGCGAGCACATGGAGGGCTGTGCGGCCCGCTAAAGAAATGCGACCCCACACCATTACTGACCCACTGCCAAACCGGTCATGCTGGAGGATGTTGCAGGCAGCAGAACATTCTCCACGGCGTCTCCAGACCCTGTCACGTCTGTCACATGTGTTCAGTGTGAACCTGCTGTCATCTGTGAAGAGCACAGGGTGCCAGTGGCAAATTTGCCAATCTTGGTGTTCTCTGGCAAATGCCAAACATCCTGCACGGTGTTGGGCTGTAAGCACAACCCCCACCTGTGGACGTCACGCCCTCATACCACCCTCATGGAGTCTGTTTCTGATCGTTTGAGCAGCCACATGCACATTTGTGGCCCGCTGGAGGTCATTTTGCAGGGCTCTGGCTGTGCTCCTCCTCTCCCTCCTTGCACAAAGGCGCAGGTAGCGGTCCTGATGCTGGGTTGTTGCCCTCCTACGGCCTCCTCCACATTCTCCTGATGTACTGGCCTGTCTCCTGGTAGCACCTCCATGCTCTGGACACTACGCTGACAGACACAGCAAACCTTCTTGCCACAGCTCGCATTGATGTGCCATCCTGGATGAGCTGTACTACCTGAGCCACTTGTGTGGGTTGTAGACTCCATCTCATGCTACCACTAGAGTGAAAGCACCGCCAGCATTCAAAAGTGACCCAACCATCAGCCAGAAAGCATAGGAACTGAGAAGTGGTCTGTGGTCACCACCTGCAGAACCACTCCTTTATTGGGGATGTCTATGCTTTCCACCTGTTGTCTATTCCATTTGCACAACAGCATGTGACATTGATTGTCAATCAGTGTTGCTACCTAAGTGGACAGTTTGATTTCACAGAAGTGTGATTGACTTGGAGTTACATTGTGTTGTTTAAGTCTTCCCTTTATTTTTTTGAGCAGTGTATTATAGCTTATTTTAAACCAGTGTTGAAAATATTGTATAAGCCAGCAATTTATCTAGCAATTTTAAACCATAATACAATCATTTATTAGATAATGTACAGCAACAACAGTGCTTTGATGTTTATTGAAACTTTCTGAATTTTTCAAACTCCAACCTAGACTCACAATTTTAAAATCCAGGGAATTTTTCTAAATGGAACACCTCAAGAAACTGTATTTTCCCTCTTTCTATTTCAGTTGACTGATTTCATTACAGTCAACTTTATTGCATCCTAAAATCACTACTACAAAGGTATATTTGTAAATTACTTTGAGACAACTTTTAAAATAAGTTCCAATAATAATTTTTAGAGAAATAGCTATATTTCTCTTTCTTATAGCAAAACAAACAAATGCTCTTGTAAAAGAAAACAATATTGGTGACTTTTTAATGACTGTAAAAAGTATTTTTAAACATGTTTTTTTTCAAATTATAGCATTCTATCTTTTTTTTTTTTCAGGCTTGCAATTGTAGTCAATTAGGTTCCCTCAGTCTCCAGTGTGACCAGCTGACTTCTCAGTGCCAGTGTAAGCAAGGATACGGAGGGGACAGGTGTGCCCTCTGTGCTTTGGGTTACAGGGACTATCCTGATTGTATTCCTTGTGACTGTGATGTGCGTGGGAGTAAAGCCGAGATGTGCAATCAAGGAATGTGCAGCTGTGAAGAGGAAACTGGTGTGTGTGTTTGCAAGGTATAGCATAATAATAAGTATTGGCCTATTAGGATTTTCATAATAGTAATAGCAACTTAGACTTAAATACCGCTTCACAGTGCTTTACAGACCTCCCTAAGCGGTTTACAAAGTCAGTATATTGCCCCCAACAATCTGGGTCCTCATTTTACCGACCTCGGAAAGATGGAAGGCTGAGTCAGCCTTGTGCTGGTGAGAATCGAACTGCCGAACTGTAGGCAGCTGGCAGTCAGCAGACAGCCTGCAGCCACTGCCTCCCATGGCTCTTAATGGTTTTAATCATGGTTGTATGTTGTAGGAGAGAGAGAAAGAGAAAAAAACTTGGTAATATTTTGAAGCAGCTGGAATTGGGAAGCATTGTAAAGGCACTTCTGCAAAAAACCAACATTCTCTATTCACTTTGCCATTATATCAGAAAAACTTACCCTAAACAATCTCATGCTACATTTCTGGTGAAAGAGAAGAGAGAACAAACAGAACCTTTGTCAGTTTTGCTGGGCTATTTCTCTTAAGAGACCAGCTGAAGCTAAGTAATTAAGGGAATATAAAATTGAAGAAATGGACAATCTAAGTACCTTTCAAGCCTCAGTATTTCAGGGTAAAAAACTTTTTCCAGTTTAGATACACCCGAACTGAGCCATAAATATATTTACTATGATCATAGAAGTTCGACGTTTCCTTTAAAGTGGGGTAGAGTCTTCATGGGGAAGTGAGTTGGCTAGAATTAATAGTTACCTAGGGAATAAATACAAGCTTCTGTAGGTATCTTATAGAATTATACATACTAAATATCTATTGTTGACATATTGTTAAGGCTACAAAAATACTATTATTCAAGCCATGATGCTGATCATGATCTCTTCTTGCTTCAGGATAATGTCTTTGGATTACACTGCAATGAATGCAAAAGTGGGACCTTTGCTCTACATGCTATTAATCCTTTGGGATGCATCCCTTGCTTCTGTTCTGGGATGACAGAATTCTGTGCAGAAGTAGAAGGTTATGTGCGAATTCCGGTTAGTAAAGTGTACCAGTCTTATTCCTATTCTAATTTCTTCCTCGCTTGATCACACCTGTTCTTGGATTGGGAAGACACCAGAATATTTGGAAGAGTCTTAATGTTTCGTAGTATTCTGTTCAGAATTTTCCTACCATCAAGAATTTTCTATTTTATTAATTTAGACATATCCAATTCCAAATCAGTTTATTTTGCTACTTTAAGTTTCTTAAAATTTGTTGCAAGCTGTCCTGGTTGATTGAAAGTTCAATGCAAATACTTAAGTAACTCATAAATAAGTGAGTAAATCACTTATTTATATGCATTCCACTTGCAGGAAATTTTATATTGTTTTGAATTGCTTTTACTATAGAATTCTCTATGCATTCTTGAAATCCAAGTTTGGTTTCTTTTTGCTTTCTTTTCCTGCAATCTTATCTTCAGCTGATTTATACGTATATCTAGAGATAGAAGGAGAAAAATATAAACAATGAAACACAATTGTGCATTCAATGTAGAAGCAGCTTTATACTAATACAAAATGTAAGGTGCGTTAATAAAATTCGCTCCAAATTTCAAAGGATGGGTGATGTGTTAGTTGTTTTCAGGAAGCATGTGAAATCTTTCTTAGTCTGAGACCATATGTAGTTCATTTTATGAAAATGGATAACCTCTTGGCTTGTTATTGCAGATAACACTGACTCTAGAACAGGAACTATTACACGTGGTTTCTCTCAGTAACTTTACTGGAACAAGCGAAGGTGTATTTTCCCAATTTCCAGACATAGTAATGGATGCAGCAACAGTCCGCCAACACTTGAATGCAGAACCCTTTTACTGGAAATTACCAGATCAATTCCAGGGAAATCAGGTAAACATTTATTTTTCTGTCCTTTCTGTGGATAAGTCTGCAACTGAATATCTAAAAATTCTGAAGAAAATTCACTGTGTGTTTCTGAATACTTACATTCATTGATATACATTCACTGTATGTTCACAGCAAAACTGTTACAATTTTACATATCTTTTATTTTTGAGACCACTTGCATAATTTTGAAAGCTACTAGACTCAATAAGAATTTAGACTCAGAGTGAATTTAGAGACAGAGACTGTAGCATATTCCTGGAGTTGTAGCTAGCTAGTACTGTCATTGAAAGCCCAACCAAATGCCCTGGTTTTCTGACTCTGAATTGATGCTGTCCTAGCTGTCTGATGTGTTGGTAGTTGTTTAACATAATTGCTACTTGGATGAGTATGGGGAAGTACAGACAGAGTCCAGAAGAATGAAGAACTAGTTGTATATTTTTACAATAATCTACATTTCCGAAGTTGCATTGTATTGTTTTCATTGTTTATTGTGCTTATTCTTGCATTTGATTTTTATGTAAGGCGTGCATATTAAGATTACATTAAAGGAAAGTGTGTGACATTTAGGGTATTCTATTTGCTAAGAATATGGTAATAGAAAAATTGCTGTTGAAAGCAAGCAAATAATGAAAGCAAGTGATTAAAAGGTGACTAAAACTAAGAAGTAGAGAAATAATGAAATTATCCCTCAAGAAATCCAGAAGCAAGGATATCAACTAGTATTGGGGACTGTTGAATTACATATCTTATTGTAACAGATGTTAATTTGTTTTCACCAAATTACAGTATATTGCAACATAGTTCCTCACCTCATTCCCCCCCCTCCCCCCAATATTCTCAGTGGAGAAGCTTGTAAATTTTACTTTTCTAGAATGAAATGCAATTGTTAGCTTTAGATCAGGGCTGTCAAACTCATGGCCCACTGGCCGGATGCATCATGTGCTGGCTACGCCCATGCCTGGTTTAGCGAAGGGGGAAAAAGTCACAATACGCCACATGATGCTGCCGTGATGCCGCAAGTTTGACACCCCTGCTTTAGATTGTTTTAAACATGCTTGTTTGAAATCTTAGATTCCTGAACTGGCTTTTTAAAACTGAATATAGGTTAAGTTGATTATAGTTCTTGATTCTGATGGCACAAGAAATTATGCTTAACGGAAAGCAAAAAGCAAAACCTAATTATATTGACTATCTTGAAAAATAAGAAATTCCTGCTTGATTTGTAAATGAAGTCAATATATGAAAAGTAGTAGGAAAAAAGAGATGATTCTGGAGATCAGAGTTTGGAGCAGACCACGAGGAAAAAGATGGTCTGCTACTAAACCTAGATTTTAGTGAAAGTACTTCAAAATTATCTTAAATTAACAATATATTTATTTATCAAAACAGCTCATGTCATATGGTGGGAAATTGAAATATTCAGTAGCTTTTTTTGCTCTGGATGATCTTGGAACTGCAAATCTTGAACCACAAGTTCTGATTAAGGGAGGTCGCCCAAGGAAACAGGTCATCTATGTGGATGTTCCTGCTCCAGAAAATGGATTAAGGCAAGATGAAGAGATACTAATGATGGAGGTAAGGCTAAAATTTTGGTTATATGTATAGAAATGTATCTAGAGTTTTTGCTCACAGTTGAATAGACACATTGTTTTCTCTTTTTTTGTGTGAACATAAAAAAATCATAGGCCATTTCACTTCAGGTTATTTATGTTTTATAACATATGTTGTATGACATCATCATGTGTCATATTAAAATGTCTCATGTCCATGAAAAATGTCCTTATTCTCTTTCAAATTTTGATTGGAAGCCTATAGAAATTGAATGAAACAATTCTAGAATTATTTTTAATAATAAATGTGTATTAGAAGTTATATATACATACATACTGTACATACAGTAATACATACATAAACTTGTCCCAGAACCAAAAGCGGAATACAAATATCAGAGTTGGTTTGGAAATCTTTGCACAAATTACTGAAAGACTGGTTGCTGAGCAACATTTCAATAAAACGTATATGTAATATGTAAACTTTATGACTTGAAGAGGGCAAAAATGTTATCACAGTTATGGCATAAGCAATAATACTACTTTGGGTTTGAATCTATCAAATAATATTACTATATTTTGAGCAGGAGATATTTTCTTGCATCAGCCTTGCTCCTTACAGCCTTGTGCATCTGTCTTTGAAAATAATTTTCAATATCTTTCAAATTTAGCATAGTAATTTAGAATATGCTTAATTTACTATATGTTTGTTTCTCCAGGTTATTAATTTTATTCCACTGAGCTCATAAAGCCAGTGAAGACTTAATTAGGAAAGTGTCATAACTAATTCTTATGATCAGCTTTATTAAATGCAGAAGCACTCTACATTTCATATGCAATTAATTTTGGCAGCTAAGGTGTTGAGGGAAATATTGATAATACTCATTCAGTGACTATTTACAATTACCACAGTGATAAAAAAGGAAGTTTATAACCAATGCTTGCATTTATGACCTTTGCAGATTTATAAAGCAAAGGAAAACTGAAGTAAAATCATAAAGACAATCGTAGTGCTGACAAAGTTGCCAGCCCCAATTGTGGTCACTAAATGAGGAATACTTATACACAAAAAACTAAAAAACAATATGATTAACCAAGTATGTGTTATTAACAGTTTGTAATTAATTTATGTTTATATTTTTCTTGTCTTTACTAGAACACCTGGAAATACTTTAATGCTGTTTCAGATGAATCTGTTTCACATTCTGACTTCATGTCAGTTCTGAGCCATATTGAATATATTCTTATCAAGGCTTCATATGGTCAAGGATTGCAACAAAGCAGGTAAAGTGCTCAAACTTTGATATTATTTATTTAATTATGTAATTATTTATTAAATTCATATAGCCATCGGTCACAAAACAAGTGACTAGGTGGCATATAACAAAGTTAATAAACAAGAGTTCACAAATAACTATTATTTTTAAAAACATTAAAAACTATAAAATGCAGCTTAAAAAATAATGGGTAATAATAATGGAGTCCTTTTATTAGTTCACCACATATTGTTCAGTATATATAAATATAAATATGATATAAAGTTATGCTGTTTTTGATGGTTATGCTTCTAAAAATGTTTCTGATAATCAGGACATTTTTTTCAGAAGAAACTCTGAATGCAGATTATAGTGCACAATTTAGCAATCCTTTGTAGGTTATCTGAAAAATTATTAGTGCATATTCAGAGAAACTTTAATAAACACACCTAATGACTATCATATTCAGGAACATTATTATCACAGGATTTGCTATGTAGAGCAGCCTTGCTCTTCTGGTCCTTCTAAATATTTTGGGATGAAAATGTCCAGAAATGTCTAGCCAGGAGGGCCATTTGTTTAAGCCTTTTATTAATTTTTCTTACCTACTAGTACCTCAAGAATCCAAATCTTGTGTTTTGAAATTTATTTCTACCTTTTAATTTTGTAACGTATAGCTCTTTGCAGAAGCCATCCAGATAATTGGTAGGAAATAATAAGGAATTGTTATCTCTTGTCTGATAAATGAAGATTGCCTCATTTTTACTTTGTTTTTATGGAACACCTTTTAGAATCTCAAATGTCTCCATGGATATTGCAGTGAAAGCCGATTACATGCCTTTGGCCAAGGAACCAGCTCACCACATTGAAAAATGCCTGTGCCCTGGAGGTTATGCAGGACTCTCCTGTCAGGTATGGTATGTCTTAGTGAAAAAAAAATTTTTTTAGGGTAACATCTTGTCATACCTTAAATGCCTTATTTAAAAATAAGTCTACCATGTTAATAACGTTCTTTTCTGTGTAGGATTGTGCACCCGGATACTATAGAGAGAGGCATGGAAACGCACACCTAAAAATGTTACCCTCAGTAGTTTCATTATGTGTGCCCTGCCAGTGCAACAATCACAGCAGTGCTTGTGATTCAGAAACAGGGAAGTGTTTGGTATGTAAACTCCTACAAATAATCCTTTTTGTATCAATATTTGGGAGCTGCCCAATTTGCTTTAAGGTGGACAGTTATATAAATGTTTAAAATAAATGAAATAATTCAAGATAAAAAAGACATCTGAAAAATAAGATTTACAAAGCTAATACAAACAAGTATTAGACTATGTCTAAGAGGTTATTTTCTGAAAGAAACTAGTACAAGGAAGAAAGGATTGAAACACTAAATTAAACAGGCACACAATATTTCAAGATGCTCTGAATTCAAAATAACTGTTTCTGTGGAGTATGCTACAGTAGTTTAGGTTAAGCATGGTGGCCTTAACCACTTAAATTTTACAATTTCATTTGAAACATTACAAAAAATGAATCACTGATGGAGATGATTCAGATGGCTTGAAGAAATTAGGGCAATCATCAAGGAATGTTAAAATAAGAAACTGAACTAATTACTTTCATTCCAAGGATTACCCATATTGAAATGGCAAGAATTTTCTACAGTTTTACTCCATTGGTTTTCTATAAATACCAATCTTTTTATAATTAAAGGAATACATATATTATCTGTTATTCCTATCTATTGACATTTTAGGTAATTAGTAGGAGCACTGTGTATTTATGAAGTGGAAATTATTATTATTTTAATTTTAAAATTCATGAATTATTGCTTCATAGGATTGCAGAGAAAATACAGTTGGTGATCACTGCAATATTTGTGCCCCTGGTTATTACGGCAAAGTTAAAGGATCCATCAATGATTGTTCACTATGTGCATGTCCAAGAACGAACCCTGAAAGGTAGCTAAGTATTCACCTGGCTGGCTTAATGATTATTATACTTAATATAGTATTATATCAATAATAGCTGGTGTGGCCAGCTACATTTCTAGGTGATTCTACCTTCTTTTTAAAATCCTTGACTAAAATGGGACTTGTAATTCAGCTTAATCAGATAATTTAATAGACATTATCATAGTCTAGTGGTTGATCTTGTGGTTGCATCACATCACCCTTTCACAATGACTAAACATAATAATGCAACATTTTGGGAAAGTATTAGGCTACACAAAGACTGCAACAAGGAACAGAATTGTATTTATGCATTAATATAGTTACGCAACAATCTTATTTACCTAGGGAAATGCCTTATTGTAATCAATGAGATGTGTGTGTGTGTGTGTGTGTGTGTGTGTGTGTGTGTGTGGTATTCAGCTTTGTTCAGGTATTTCCCCACGTCATTATAGTTGTGCTTTTAAAGTTGTAGCAACATTTCAGCAGAATCTCATCTGCCATCATCAGGCTTCTGTATTGTGAAGCCTGATGATGACAGATGAGATTCTGCCGAAACGTTGCTACAACTTTAAAAGCACAACTATAATGACCTGGGAAAATACCCGAATAAAGCTGAATACCATACATATAAATACCTGTGAAAACTTAAGAATAT